CTGCCAAACATGCTTGCACAAAATTGAGCATTGTCTTTCAGTTTTGGAAATGATGTATCTGGCAGTTCTTTGTAGAATGTGAGGAGATTAGAATTTTTGAACTGTGATTTCAATTCATCACTGCACTGGATGTCTATCAACTCAAGTTGGACATCTGGAGGGGCATCTTCCACTTTCACATCAAATGGAGTTGAAAAAAGTTGCAGGTAGATCTTGTATTTCTGGAATTCACCAAACCTCTCATTGAATGATGTAAGGAGGGTGTTAACTTGGTCAGAGTAATCCATCTTCATATGTGGGTATTTCTCTTTCATGGCCTTGCAATGTGGAAAGTGTGTAAAGTTCTCTGATTGCATGTGGGACTTGAAAAGTGATAGTTTGGTCATAAATGCATTGATGTTACTTGTCAACTGAGAAACAAGTTGCATCTTTCCCTGCAATCTCAAATTAAGGTCGTTTAGATAAGCAGTAATGTCAGCAAGGAAAGCTAAATCACACTGCCATCTTTGTCCCTCCAAATTCCTTGTAGTGTTCCCCCGTTCTTTGAGGAAAGTGATAATAGGCCCCAATAGCTCCACAAATCTCTTGAGGACTGTTGCCTTGCTCAGCCAACGAACTTCAGTATACGTGGGCAGGTCAGCATAATCAGCATCTATTTCTTCAAGAAATGATGTGAAGAGTCGATGGTTGAGTCCATGACGGCGGATTAAGTTCACAGTATCATAGACATCTTTCAGCAGACGTTCAAATCCCAGCTTCTTTGCACAAAGTTGCTGTTGGTGAATTATGCAATGATACTGGACTAACTCCTTTTGCCTGTCCCCAAGGTGGTTTTTCAGCAAGGTGACCATGCCATTCTCACATCCAACCATAGATGGTGCTCCATCAGTGGCAATGCTGGATAGCTTGTCAAAGTCCAGTGCTGATTTGTTGCAAACGCTCAATAAACCAGTAAGTAAGTCAGCACCAGTTGTATGTCCGGAAAGTGATGCCATGCCAAGAAATTCTTCATTCACAATAAAATCTAGTGAAACACTTCTAATAAACACAATCACTTGTGCTGTTGATGATATGTCAGTGGATTCGTCCACAGCCAAAGAAAAATAAGCACAGTTTGCAACTAAAATATTAAGTTGGCCAGAAATGTCTGATGCAATTTGCGAGATTCTCCGTTGTATCGTCATGCGGTTAAGACTGATTGTTTGAAAACACTTTGTCTTCTCAGGACACATCTTCTCACTTGTGATTATAAGACACTTTTTTTATCATATTGCCATCTGTAAAAGGTTTCCCATTCTTGGCTATTAAAGCAGATATTTCTAGGCTGGCTTCAACAGCTGCATCCAATTCTCCAGATTGTTTCTTGAACACATATTTTGTTGACTGATTAGTGATCGTCGTAACGATTCGATTTTCCGTTCGTGTTCCGTACCTTGCAGAAGGAAATCCTTGTGTTGGCTTTCATGATGTCGCTTCAGGTTGAATTCTTTTGGCAATGCTATTGTTCTGTTGCACAAAACAGTACTTGTTAGTCCACACTTCTTGAAATTGACAATTCTCGCGATCGACCTTGCGTTTAATGCCCGGCACCATACTGTTCACTCTGCAAAACAATGTCTCGTTATGCCGAAAATTCTGAGGCCCGCAATGAATCGTGTTTGAAATAAGGCAAGCTAGACTACCATGTGCTTTGTTCTGTATACACTCTGACCAAAGACTAAAGAGGCGGGGACAGAAGACTATTACGCATACGTGACAAATGGCCAGGCAGGTCTTAGGTTAGGACTCCACTACCGTAAAAACGGCGTAAAAACTTCTCCCCGTAAAAGCTTTTAATCACGTGACCCTGATATCTTGCGCTTGAGCAGGCCGTAAAACCAGCGTAAAAGCGAGTTGAGCTATGTTCAACTTTCGACGCGAATACGGCCGTAAAGAGGTACCTTCCACCAATCAGAAATCAGTGAAATCTAGGTCATCGCGACACAGAGCTAAAATGGCGGAAAACGAGCTTTTGTGTACATTCCCTCGTGGCTACTCTAGAATAGATCCGGAAAGATTTATCGAAAACATCCGAAAGTATTCGTGTATCTACGACAATAGGTAACCTGATTATAATAATGGATACCAAAGGAAATCCTTCAATTTAGAGGAGTATATAATAAAAAGCTAAGCTTATAAGTGCTGTATATTATCTTAATAATACGATAATAAAAGTTAGTATATGAATGTAAAGATATTATTTTTACTACATTTGTAATTATAGTACAGAAAAAGCTCGTAGAATATAATTGTTGTCTTTATATCGTTATGTCACGTATACAACCATCTTTCGTTTCTACCAATTCACGTGCGAAGAAGTATTTACGTTCGACACTTGGGGCAGCACCGTCGGCGTAAAAACTTTGCGCTAGCCGGACCTCCACCGTAATCCGAGCGCAAACGCAAATAGGTCACGTGATTAAAAGCTTTTACGGCGAGGGGTTTTTACGGTAGTGGAGTCCTAGCCTAAATTCATTCGACCCCTGTCCGGGCGTCTCCACCATTTCTCAGAGTTTGTGAGTCAGATCGTCAACATGCCAGGTGCAGGACACTAATCCATCATAAATGTGGTTACCATTCTTACCTAAATTATATTTATGGCCCGTCAGTTTTACCCCCGTGTTCAGAAATGAATCAAAAGTGATTAACACAGTGCAGTGGAAAATCTGAATATTTTAAATATAATTATTAAAATTGCGATATCTCGTTTCAAATTGGCGCTAGAATCAATCTGTTTTTTTTTTTCTGTCATAAATATATCACAGTTTACGACTGTTAAATTTCAAATAAAATAAAAATTAAAAATAATAATTTAATTTTAAATTTACGAAAAAAAGAATGTAAAAATAAAAGTAAATAAAAAGTTCCAATTAATTTACTACTTAAATAACCTAAATATATCTGTTTTCTTTCAAACAAAAGAAACCGCAGCTTTCTAGCTACACGGAATCATTTTACAACCCTCTTTGTTGACAAGTTTATGGCTTGACGCGGTTTGTAATAATTATTAAATCCAAAATATTTTAGTGCAAATGGCTTCCTTTTAGTCATAATGACTCTATTCCAACTACAGTATTAATTTTCTTGGTTCAACTTAATAATAATAAATTTGATGCGAAATTTTTTTTTCTATTCTTAGTCTATGGAGAGGAGATGATGTAAATTATTGGTTGTTATAGCTTTTTGTACATTTCTTTTTGAACTCTGGTTAGTTTTTTCTAGTTTGAATGACATTAGGTTGACGAATAAGCGTCTTTTCAGAAAAGATTGATTCAAATTCGACTATACCAATCAGAATCTGAAATGTAAACAAATGCTAAAAAATCGTTATTTTCATGGTTTTTCAGCGCTATTTTCAGTTATTTTTGTTATTTGACGCTATTTAGACGAAGCAAGTTTTCCGAAGCATAAAATTGAAGATTTCCCGCCAAAGTAGAAACTTCCTGATAACATCGGAAATGACGTTCTAACATCATTTTATTCTATTTGAATCTTCAAAAAATCGTTATAATACTATGTATTAGACTTAAAATATTCGATATCTAAACCACAAAGTGTTAGCTAGAAATAGACTTATTTATAGAATAATCCCCCATTTCTCATTTCAGGGAAAGTTATAAAACAGTTGGGTGCTAATGACTTTGTGAAAGGGAAAAGTTAGAAACTTCGAAAGAAGGGATTTGGCCTGTACCGTCCGCAGGCCACATAAACATTGGTAAGGGGCCGTATGTGGCCCGTGGGCCGCAGGTTGTGCACCCCTGATATTGTTCATGTCCAGTTGGATACTTAGACTTCCTACAAGGCAGGTCTAAACTTGAGTATTATTTGATATCCTCAAGAGGATGCATAGCCTCTGTTTGTTCAAATGAGGGATTGACCTTGAAATAGACTGACTTTAAGCCTAAGTTTTAGACTAGTATGTATTTAAACAAATGGCTGTTAAAGTTCAGTGGTCAAATTATAAAAATAGCATACAAAGTTGTGTAGAGATAACATGAATGACACATTTCTAATTGATAAATTGGTAAAAAGTAAATTATTTAATTAAAACTAATATTGGGACAATATTTATTTGATTGAATTGTGACAATATATTTATTTGATTGAATTGTGACAATGTGCAAAGTGCCCCTATGCTTTGGCACCACGGGACCGAAGGGTCGACACTGCGTTGCAATGACTAGTTTGTCAGGACTGACACCACTTTGTCTTTTAGGACAGACACAGAAACCTTGATGGTTGCTAATTTTGATTTTTGCATGAGCAGTGATGTTGTAGGCACTTGGATTCGGGATGGAGGCAGCATGGGTTAAGGAAGTGCACCATACACAATTCTAACAATAACAATTATCCATTTATTTACTGTAAGCTATTGATAAGTTATACAAGATTAATATTTATAGTTAAAGCTTCATCCACGATATTAACTAATGCGGGAGTTTAAGTTGGAGATTGAGAATTTACATAGCGTTTACATAGATACCTGGTAATGCGTTGTTGATACCATGGATTGAAGGAGTTCAATTGGATGGGGTTCACTATATGGATGAATCGTTGGAGGAAGGAAAATCACTAAGGTATCCGAGTGTTGGGGCAACTCTGGCAAGGGTGAACTTTAGGTGATGGCAGACTCCTTGGTCAGACAAACTCTCCTTCAGACAAACAAACTGTCATCATCAGTCATTGCCTTTTATTGGAGTCCTCTTTCTTTTCTCCGTTGCCCTTTTTTTTGGCAATGTTGCAATGCCTATGTCCAATAGCAATTTCTCATCGAGAAGTTCCTGGTGACATGTTCAATGTATTATCTTGAAAAGGAAGTGACTCCACAGAGGGATAAAGTCATATTCTTTACAATTTTAACAATCATGGAAAAAATTGTAGCAAGTTTTAATTTCAAAATTAAATTTTCACCTGCAAAATTTTTGTCTAGTCCAGGCTCTCACAGAATGATATTCTTTCAGTTTTAGAAAGCATTGTAACTTCAGTAGAAGACAAAGCTGTGTCTGCCAAAGGTAATTTAAAAGCAAATTCTAAAGTTTTTGAGGAAAATTATACAATTTTTAGTTTTTAGAAAATTTATACAATTTCTTTATTAAATTCAATAAGTAAATAAATTATACATGTAATTTTCAGTTTTAGAAAATATGGTTGATATAGTTGAAAATCATGAAGAATCTTCTAAAGGTAATTTGTAAATAAAATTCTATTTAATACTAGAATATTTTCAGTTAATATTTTTCTTATGTTAACTGTTAAGAAGTGAAATTTACATATCTATTTTAAAATATATTTTTATGTTTTTTTATTGTATTAAATTATTATTATCATATTTTCACAAATGACTGGCATGTGCATAAAAATGGGGGAGACCAGCATGCCGGAAACCCTGGGGTTACTGGCATGCTAGTTAAACTGTAACTAAAATATAAAATTAATAAATTAATCAGATCTAATATGAGGAACTGGGAGCTCTAACACTTAATTGGCCATAAATCTGGAAGATCCACCCGCAGAGATGGCTATAAAAGATGTTTAGATCAAAGATTGTAAAATCCCGATCTACAGTCAAGATTCCTGACACCAGCCTAAAATTTAGCGTTAGGCATGCAGTTAAGAATTTAAATCACTCTGTCAAGTGGGCGGGACTGTGGATGGAATCAAATTCATAGAGGAGGCCATTTCTTTAAGATAACAAACGATACTTTAATAAAAATAAAACAAGATATAATACAAACAAAAATGCCAACAATTATATGCTATACCTATCTTGCAAGTGAGAGAGACAATTTACATATATTTAGGGTATATATACTACTTTGACTTGAGTAGTTAGAGTTGTCGATCAGCATTGATCTGATCTAAGTTGCAGTAGGTTTCAGTGGAGCGGGAGGCTGTTGATTCTGACAGTGCACAAGATAAAAATGTCTGGTTTCTGGCCAACAAAAACTTCTTTAATTTCACTCTTGAGAAGAACTGTGTGAGACTTGAAAGGCCCCTGGGTCTAAATTAATAATTTATTAATTATGTTAAATATTGTCACCAAATATTACTTCATTTTTGGTGAGAAAAATAATATTTTAATGTTGGAAAAGGCAGATAACAGATGTTACTTCCTTTCACAGAAGTTAGAACATCCTCTGACTTTCCCTTATCTGGTTAAAATCCTGCTCAGATGGGAAATGTTTACCCCTCATTCATTCCCCTTTCATCCATTCTCATGAAAGAGTTACTGGCCGATGATTGGTCGAAAATCAGCAGATATAGAGGAAATTTGACAGAATTCGGGGAGTTCATCGATAGACATAGAGAGTGTCCGAACTCCATACATTTTTCTCCTGATGACCAACGTCCTTAGATGAGTCACATACAGAATAATTCCAGCGTTAGCACTTAGAAAACATACTTGGATTTTGTGCACATATTGATCTTCCATGGAAGGAAGTAAATGAACTTTATCTCCAAAGTGTCCCTTGCCTACAGAGAAGAAGACGAACGACAACTAAACAGGTTGTATGTTTTATAACGATTTTGTGAGCTCTCTCTCTCGATCGCACATTGGTTATAGTATAAGTCCTTGCCTATATCGTGTATCTTAATTGTCATATTTATATCCCTCGTTCCTTGATATTTGTATTAGTTTTACTTTTTGAATCATTAAATTTACTTCTGTTTGTTTTATAATTAAAATGTCTCCTAATTTTGAATCAGAATCAGATCTCATACGCGTGTTTGTCCGCGGATTGATAAATTGACAAACTGGTGTCAGTCCTGACGAGCATCTGAACTTCACAGTTCAGATCTACTAGCGATTATCTCTCTCCTATGAAGTTTTTGAGATCAGATCTAGTGATCTGCATCGTAGAGAACTAGTCTTACCGACCAGTGCCCGTAAGTGGCGTAGACTAAGATCTATGTCCCCGGCTATCTCTCAACTGTGAGGAAGGTCCAGGTGAAGAAGGACTGACAAGAAAAGGCCCTGATCGGAGGAAGTGGTCAGTTTTTATCCCCGAATTTCGACCAATGGCATATTTCTATTTTGAACTCTAACGGGATGTACTGGGGATAGACGAGATGTCAAGGGGGTTAGACATTTAGATGGTGGTCGAATCTAGAAGATAAGGGGTGTGAGAAAGGATGTTAATTTCTCATTTTGTCACAAAAGTGACAATATGTTTCCCTTAGCAAAAACATGTGGAAGAAATTTACTTCACACATTGATTTATTAATAATTTTGAAAGGAAAATATTACTTTCTCATGGAGAAAATACGATATAATATTTACCACATAAGAAAATGAAGGAAATGATGGAAGGACCTTGTTTAAGGAGAAATTTCTGATCCAAAGTAGTGTGAAGTTTAGATTAAATTATGATGTCAAATACATTAATCAGTTAAATTGTATAACTCAAGTTTTGATTCTCACACTAACAAAACTAATTGCTAATTAAACATTAAAGAAAACATTTTTCCCAGTACAATAAAATAATAACATTGTAATTTGACGATTTAAAATCAGGAAGACAGTTTTTGTTTACAAGACAATGAAACAATTAACAATGTATTGACAGTAGTAGTAGTAGTAGTAGTAGTAGAAGAACATTTTATGTTGTTAGAAAGAGTTAGAAAAAAGACTAAATGAAGAAATTAAATGTATAATTGTAGTTTCTGACGTAATGTTGACAGTTCACAGTTTTAGAATAAAAACTTTTTCGTTTTTAAGTGAAGTAACTCATTTGGTTTTTTTTTTAATGCATTCTCTAGAGAAGGATGTATAACCTCACTTAAACCAGCATGCCTGTTTTTACTATATGGAAATACCTGATTTCGTGGACTCTCCCAGATAGACTGGCATGCCAGTTATTTCACAAAAATATGATATTATTATTATTATTATTGCATCACATTACAGATATATTAAAAATGTTATAAATACTGTACACGTTAACAGATTTTTCTTATTCAATTTTTGAAAATTAAATAATATAGAAAATATTTCAAAGATCTTATTTATCACTTGAACATTGTAGATTTAACTTACTTTTAATACATTTCAAATAATAATTGCATAAATATTTATACAAAGAAATCATTTTTTTAATTGGAAAAAAGCAGTAAAAAATTTGCAAATTTAAAAATTAAAAATAATTTTATTTAATTAAACTTCTCATAATAGTTATACAGACTCAAAAATATAAAACACTATTCTAATTGATAATTATTATATAGATTATAAAATATCTGTAAAGGGAATTTTCTCACAGGTTAGAAATCACTTTCATTTTTCAGTCAGTTGCTGTGCTGTCCAAAGCCTAAAGTCTATCACCAAAAAATTGATCTTGTCACCATGCCTAATTGCTCAATATTTTGTGTGAAAAATGTTCTGTGATAATTAAAGAACAAAATTAAAGGAAAAATAGGGTCATTTCTGATATCACATAACAAGAGTTTATTTTAGAGTTGTTAAATTTTCATTTTCCATTTCTTTATAGTGCAAGGCAGAAGCAACATTTAACTGCTGTAGGGCAGTTATATGATTTAAGGCATTTTTAAACTTTGCTGCCAGCTAGTCTCAGGTTGATTGGTATTGGTTGCCAAAACTTTTTTTTGGACTTAATATACATTTTACCGTGCGTATTTCATTCTATACATTTAAAAAATAATAATTTTAAACTTCTGCATTCAAATGTTGTATTTCATTGTTGAATGGTTAAAATCAATGTTCAATTTTGTTTGATTTGAAAATTTGAAACTTCTTTACATAACTGGATTGGTAAAAGATAAATATATCTTTTGATAATTCAGCAATTTTAAAAATATCTCTTTGTAATTAACAATTTTAACTAACTAAATTAAAAAGTTTAGTTTTCAAAACTGAACTGCTTTTAAAAATTGAAAATGGTAATTTAGTTGAAAGAACACTTGATTAACCTTTGAAAAATTATTTTTCTAGATCACTTTTAAAATCATTTTGTGAGTTTACAATTTTTCATACTCTACACACAATCTTTTAAATTGGTAACCAAGCATCCAAGAACTCTGTTATTTGGATACTTGGGTACTTGACGTTTGATACTGATGTATATATATATATATGTATATAATCATGTTTACTGTGACGATACACCTTTAAAATACATTACTTCTATTGCCAATTTCAAATTGTTATTGATATTTCTTTAAAATGTTTGTAAATGTGAAAATGGCAATGACAGTGGAAACACTGTTTTTGTTTTATACTGCCATTATAACGTAGTTTTTTTAGAAACTGTTACTTTACTTACATTACATTGATGATTATAATTTTGTAATTGATGAAAAGTGATTTCCTTATACATTTTTAAAAGTTAGAAATCATAACATACAACTAACATAATTTTTTGTCATACTATAAATCTATGGTTCTCAAATGATTAAGTAAAAGATTTAAAGAATATCATAAGCCAAAAATGGCACAAGCGAAAAATTATTTTTCAATATTCTATGTACTAATAAATATACTTATATAAAATATCATGGAAGGAAGTAAATGAACTTTATCTCCAAAGTGTCCCTTGCCTACAGAGAAGAAGACGAACGACAACTAAACAGGTTGTATGTTTTATAACGATTTTGTGAGCTCTCTCTCTCGATCGCACATTGGTTATAGTATAAGTCCTTGCCTATATCGTGTATCTTAATTGTCATATTTATATCCCTCGTTCCTTGATATTTGTATTAGTTTTACTTTTTGAATCATTAAATTTACTTCTGTTTGTTTTATAATTAAAATGTCTCCTAATTTTGAATCAGAATCAGATCTCATACGCGTGTTTGTCCGCGGATTGATAAATTGACAAACTGGTGTCAGTCCTGACGAGCATCTGAACTTCACAGTTCAGATCTACTAGCGATTATCACTCTCCTATGAAGTTTTTGAGATCAGATCTAGTGATCTGCATCGTAGAGAACTAGTCTTACCGACCAGTGCCCGTAAGTGGCGTAGACTAAGATCTATGTCCCCGGCTATCTCTCAACTGTGAGGAAGGTCCAGGTGAAGAAGGACTGACAAGAAAAGGCCCTGATCGGAGGAAGTGGTCAGTTTTTATCCCCGAATTTCGACCAATGGCATATTTCTATTTTGAACTCTAACGGGATGTACTGGGGATAGACGGGATGTCAAGGGGGTTAGACATTTAGATGGTGGTCGAATCTAGAAGATAAGGGGTGTGAGAAAGGATGTTAATTTCTCATTTTGTCACAAAAGTGACAATATGTTTCCCTTAGCAAAAACATGTGGAAGAAATTTACTTCACACATTGATTTATTAATAATTTTGAAAGGAAAATATTACTTTCTCATGGAGAAAATACGATATAATATTTACCACATAAGAAAATGAAGGAAATGATGGAAGGACCTTGTTTAAGGAGAAATTTCTGATCCAAAGTAGTGTGAAGTTTAGATTAAATTATGATGTCAAATACATTAATCAGTTAAATTGTATAACTCAAGTTTTGATTCTCACACTAACAAAACTAATTGCTAATTAAACATTAAAGAAAACATTTTTCCCAGTACAATAAAATAATAACATTGTAATTTGACGATTTAAAATCAGGAAGACAGTTTTTGTTTACAAGACAATGAAACAATTAACAATGTATTGACAGTAGTAGTAGTAGTAGTAGTAGTAGAAGAACATTTTATGTTGTTAGAAAGAGTTAGAAAAAAGACTAAATGAAGAAATTAAATGTATAATTGTAGTTTCTGACGTAATGTTGACAGTTCACAGTTTTAGAATAAAAACTTTTTCGTTTTTAAGTGAAGTAACTCATTTGGTTTTTTTTTTAATGCATTCTCTAGAGAAGGATGTATAACCTCACTTAAACCAGCATGCCTGTTTTTACTATATGGAAATACCTGATTTCGTGGACTCTCCCAGATAGACTGGCATGCCAGTTATTTCACAAAAATATGATATTATTATTATTATTATTGCATCACATTACAGATATATTAAAAATGTTATAAATACTGTACACGTTAACAGATTTTTCTTATTCAATTTTTGAAAATTAAATAATATAGAAAATATTTCAAAGATCTTATTTATCACTTGAACATTGTAGATTTAACTTACTTTTAATACATTTCAAATAATAATTGCATAAATATTTATACAAAGAAATCATTTTTTTAATTGGAAAAAAGCAGTAAAAAATTTGCAAATTTAAAAATTAAAAATAATTTTATTTAATTAAACTTCTCTTAATAGTTATACAGACTCAAAAATATAAAACACTATTCTAATTGATAATTATTATATAGATTATAAAATATCTGTAAAGGGAATTTTCTCACAGGTTAGAAATCACTTTCATTTTTCAGTCAGTTGCTGTGCTGTCCAAAGCCTAAAGTCTATCACCAAAAAATTGATCTTGTCACCATGCCTAATTGCTCAATATTTTGTGTGAAAAATGTTCTGTGATAATTAAAGAACAAAATTAAAGGAAAAATAGGGTCATTTCTGATATCACATAACAAGAGTTTATTTTAGAGTTGTTAAATTTTCATTTTCCATTTCTTTATAGTGCAAGGCAGAAGCAACATTTAACTGCTGTAGGGCAGTTATATGATTTAAGGCATTTTTAAACTTTGCTGCCAGCTAGTCTCAGGTTGATTGGTATTGGTTGCCAAAACTTTTTTTTGGACTTAATATACATTTTACCGTGCGTATTTCATTCTATACATTTAAAAAATAATAATTTTAAACTTCTGCATTCAAATGTTGTATTTCATTGTTGAATGGTTAAAATCAATGTTCAATTTTGTTTGATTTGAAAATTTGAAACTTCTTTACATAACTGGATTGGTAAAAGATAAATATATCTTTTGATAATTCAGCAATTTTAAAAATATCTCTTTGTAATTAACAATTTTAACTAACTAAATTAAAAAGTTTAGTTTTCAAAACTGAACTGCTTTTAAAAATTGAAAATGGTAATTTAGTTGAAAGAACACTTGATTAACCTTTGAAAAATTATTTTTCTAGATCACTTTTAAAATCATTTTGGGAGTTTACAATTTTTCATACTCTACACACAATCTTTTAAATTGGTAACCAAGCATCCAAGAACTCTGTTATTTGGATACTTGGGTACTTGACGTTTGATACTGATGTATATATATATATATGTATATAATCATGTTTACTGTGACGATACACCTTTAAAATACATTACTTCTATTGCCAATTTCAAATTGTTATTGATATTTCTTTAAAATGTTTGTAAATGTGAAAATGGCAATGACAGTGGAAACACTGTTTTTGTTTTATACTGCCATTATAACGTAGTTTTTTTAGAAACTGTTACTTTACTTACATTACATTGATGATTATAATTTTGTAATTGATGAAAAGTGATTTCCTTATACATTTTTAAAAGTTAGAAATCATAACATACAACTAACATAATTTTTTGTCATACTATAAATCTATGGTTCTCAAATGATTAAGTAAAAGATTTAAAGAATATCATAAGCCAAAAATGGCACAAGCGAAAAATTATTTTTCAATATTCTATGTACTAATAAATATACTTATATAAAATATCTATCTTAATATATTTTTTAAGAAAATATAATTACAAAATACCCATATATGAATTGATTTATACAAACTTTGTCAAATAACAGATTTTATTTGTATTGAAATGTTTTAATCTAAATTAATTTTGTGTTTAGTATTAGAAAATATAATTAGTTCAGTTGAAGATCAAGTTACAGCTGTTGAAGGTGATTAGAATTTATTTATTTAGTAATTAATATGTGTATTTTTATTAATCTGGATAAAACTTTAATATTATTTACTTTATTTATCTTTTCATTCTTACTTAAGCAAAAATTAATTTTTTTCAGTTCTAGAAAATGTTATTAGCTTGGCAGAGAATTGTGTAACAACGGATGAAGGTAATTTATCTATATATTTAATCTATATAAAATACATTTGATTAATTTAGTTATATATTATATGACAAAACATGCTTAACAATTCATTAGTTATTTCATAACTATGTATGATCAACTTTTGAAAGAATTGTACAGTGTGGGGCAGAAAGAACAGATGTTTCTGAAATGGCTAGAACTCACCACCAGGTAGAGTGACAGATTTGTGCTAGATAGTGTGAAAGTAGTGAGGTCTTAGCATTGTCTTCTCAGTTGAAGGCATGAAGCCGTGGATGATAGAATAACATGTGTTTGCGTACAACTGAGGAAACAGTCGTACGCAAAGGGGATCATTCAGTCATATACATTTGATGGAAATATGTTTCTGCATTTTTGCACACAATGGAAATGTATTCTAATCAGATGTGTGGTTTCAAAAGGTTGGAGCGACGGCCCACACATCTAGAACATTAATTGGTGTTATTCCCAACCTTCCTTGGTCTCCTCATTTCCAAGCTCTGTGACATTCATTGGTTTCCTCGTTTGCCCAAACTATCCATGTTCAATTATTTCTTGTGGGGACATTTCAAGGCACATGTNAATTAAATAATATAGAAAATATTTCAAAGATCTTATTTATCACTTGAACATTGTAGATTTAACTTACTTTTAATACATTTCAAATAATAATTGCATAAATATTTATACAAAGAAATCATTTTTTTAATTGGAAAAAAGCAGTAAAAAATTTGCAAATTTAAAAATTAAAAATAATTTTATTTAATTAAACTTCTCATAATAGTTATACAGACTCAAAAATATAAAACACTATTCTAATTGATAATTATTATATAGATTATAAAATATCTGTAAAGGGAATTTTCTCACAGGTTAGAAATCACTTTCATTTTTCAGTCAGTTGCTGTGCTGTCCAAAGCCTAAAGTCTATCACCAAAAAATTGATCTTGTCACCATGCCTAATTGCTCAATATTTTGTGTGAAAAATGTTCTGTGATAATTAAAGAACAAAATTAAAGGAAAAATAGGGTCATTTCTGATATCACATAACAAGAGTTTATTTTAGAGTTGTTAAATTTTCATTTTCCATTTCTTTATAGTGCAAGGCAGAAGCAACATTTAACTGCTGTAGGGCAGTTATATGATTTAAGGCATTTTTAAACTTTGCTGCCAGCTAGTCTCAGGTTGATTGGTATTGGTTGCCAAAACTTTTTTTTGGACTTAATATACATTTTACCGTGCGTATTTCATTCTATACATTTAAAAAATAATAATTTTAAACTTCTGCATTCAAATGTTGTATTTCATTGTTGAATGGTTAAAATCAATGTTCAATTTTGTTTGATTTGAAAATTTGAAACTTCTTTACAAAACTGGATTGGTAAAAGATAAATATATCTTTTGATAATTCAGCAATTTTAAAAATATCTCTTTGTAATTAACAATTTTAACTAACTAAATTAAAAAGTTTAGTTTTCAAAACTGAACTGCTTTTAAAAATTGAAAATGGTAATTTAGTTGAAAGAACACTTGATTAACCTTTGAAAAATTATTTTTCTAGATCACTTTTAAAATCATTTTGTGAGTTTACAATTTTTCATACTCTACACACAATCTTTTAAATTGGTAACCAAGCATCCAAGAACTCTGTTATTTGGATACTTGGGTACTTGACGTTTGATACTGATGTATATATATATATATGTATATAATCATGTTTACTGTGACGATACACCTTTAAAATACATTACTTCTATTGCCAATTTCAAATTGTTATTGATATTTCTTTAAAATGTTTGTAAATGTGAAAATGGCAATGACAGTGGAAACACTGTTTTTGTTTTATACTGCCATTATAACGTAGTTTTTTTAGAAACTGTTACTTTACTTACATTACATTGATGATTATAATTTTGTAATTGATGAAAAGTGATTTCCTTATACATTTTTAAAAGTTAGAAATCATAACATACAACTAACATAATTTTTTGTCATACTATAAATCTATGGTTCTCAAATGATTAAGTAAAAGATTTAAAGAATATCATAAGCCAAAAATGGCACAAGCGAAAAATTATTTTTCAATATTCTATGTACTAATAAATATACTTATATAAAATATCTATCTTAATATATTTTTTAAGAAAATATAATTACAAAATACCCATATATGAATTGATTTATACAAACTTTGTCAAATAACAGATTTTATTTGTATTGAAATGTTTTAATCTAAATTAATTTTGTGTTTAGTATTAGAAAATATAATTAGTTCAGTTGAAGATCAAGTTACAGCTGTTGAAGGTGATTAGAATTTATTTATTTAGTAATTAATATGTGTATTTTTATTAATCTGGATAAAACTTTAATATTATTTACTTTATTTATCTTTTCATTCTTACTTAAGCAAAAATTAATTTTTTTCAGTTCTAGAAAATGTTATTAGCTTGGCAGAGAATTGTGTAACAACGGATGAAGGTAATTTATCTATATATTTAATCTATATAAAATACATTTGATTAATTTAGTTATATATTATATGACAAAACATGCTTAACAATTCATTAGTTATTTCATAACTATGTATGATCAACTTTTGAAAGAATTGTACAGTGTGGGGCAGAAAGAACAGATGTTTCTGAAATGGCTAGAACTCACCACCAGGTAGAGTGACAGATTTGTGCTAGATAGTGTGAAAGTAGTGAGGTCTTAGCATTGTCTTCTCAGTTGAAGGCATGAAGCCGTGGATGATAGAATAACATGTGTTTGCGTACAACTGAGGAAACAGTCGTACGCAAAGGGGATCATTCAGTCATATACATTTGATGGAAATATGTTTCTGCATTTTTGCACACAATGGAAATGTATTCTAATCAGATGTGTGGTTTCAAAAGGTTGGAGCGACGGCCCACACATCTAGAACATTAATTGGTGTTATTCCCAACCTTCCTTGGTCTCCTCATTTCCAAGCTCTGTGACATTCATTGGTTTCCTCGTTTGCCCAAACTATCCATGTTCAATTATTTCTTGTGGGGACATTTCAAGGCACATGTATATGAGCATAAGCTTGTTCTTTGCAAGAACTGAAGGAAGCTATTCATGTGGAAGTCGCCAAAATTGCTTCCAGAAATGCATCACTGATATCAGACACCACGTAGGAGATGTTGTTTTCTACACTTGATTCTGTAAAATGCTATTTCAATACGAACTCACGTCTTCAAAGAAATAACTTTTGTAGTAACAATTACAGATGTTGTAATTTTTTAAAAACCATCTGTTCTTTCTGCCCCACCCTGTATCATGCAGACGCTGTTAATATCATTAAATTTTTCAATATTTCTAGATTTTTATAAAATAATAACAAATACTTTTTATGACAGTTGACATCAATGGTAAATAAGAACAAAGTAGGAAACTGCCTTTTTAATGTTATTAAATATTTGTGTCTAATAATTAAAAGATAGTTCAAACACTGTAAGTCTGGAACATATTATATCATAAAAATGCACACAATTGAACTTTAAAGTTCTCAAATGGAATGCAGAAAATGGAACATTCTTAAGATTATCTGAAAAATTCTGACTGTTCTTGTTGGTATAAAAATTGCCAGGCATAAGATAATTGCTCTTCATTTTTAAAATTGATGCAATTGCCCCTCTTTTCAGATTTGAATATCTTGAGAACTTGTAGTGTTCTGATTTGGTCATCATGCTTAGATCTTCGTATAATGGAAGCTTTGTCTAGATACACTTGAACATTGTTGTCTGTGACATACCTGACTAAGGTGGTGTTGTATTTTCTTTTATCAGTATCATATTTTTGTTCTGCAAGCCTTACTTTGATCAATATTATTTGAAAAATAAATTTTCATTATACGATTTTTAAAATAATCTTAAGAATGTTCCATTTTTTGCATTCCATATGAGAATGTTTTAGTCTGAAGAAGATCTCCTATGTAGATCAAAAATGTTTGTGTTTTATGTGCATTAAACTTCTCTGGAATTTTATTTTTAAGGTTCAATAGTGTGCATTTTTATGATTAAAAAATGTCAAAAATATGGAGATTTCTAAAGCATATTAATGTATTTTTACATTTGTTTTTATACAGGATNTTTTTTTTTTTTTTTTTTTTTTTTGCTAAATTCTTTTTGTTTGTCTCTAAAATAGCTTTCATTTTATTTTTTTAAATAATAATTAATTTCTATTCATTTTTTATATTTTAAATTTTTTCGTTCTTTTGGGAATGATATAGTCTTTTCAGTATTCTAGTAAAATGTTAAATATTGCAGTTTTACAAATTTATAGTTTTTATATAATCATTAATTTAGATATAAATGTCATAAATTTGACTGAAAAATGCAAAAAATTGAAAAAAATTTTTAATTACCAAATACATATTTTGGAGTCAAATGATTGTTAGATTAGATTGGGCTATATTACGTTCTAATCCATCAGTCATTTGTCTTTAATATAACTATCGGGCTTATAAATATTTTAGTTTTACTCATTTACAATATAGTAACATATTGTGTGATGAATTCTAATGTCAGGTTGATTCAAAAGTTCCCGGACACACACACAAGATACAAAACTTTATTGATACTAAAACACAAAGACATGGTTATTCCTTAAAATAAAGGTGATTGTTAGCTATGGTCTTGATGCATCATTTTGCAAATTGGTGGATTACTTGACAATACCAGTTGGCTGATTTTGATGCCAAAACTTGTAAACCTTGTTTTCAGCATTATGCACTGTATTGAAGGAACATCCTTGTAGAAAATGTGTCAACAACCAGAAGAGGTGAAAATCTGATGGAGCAAGGTCAGGGCTATATGCTGGGTAAGGCAAAATTGTGAGCAGTGTATGCTTTCAATTATGGAATGCTGGATAGCGAGTGTGCAGGACTTCAAACATCCATTCCACTTGCTCGGCGTAGAAGTTTCTGTCCGTAGCCTGGCCATTAGGAACTAGTTTCCAATGTACTGGGCAATGCAAATTCCACCAAATGCATGACATTACTTTTTGTTTGAACTGTTGTTGTTGAACCACTTGTGCTGGCACTTCACCTAGTCAGAGCCACTGGTTTCCTCTGCTAGGATTTTTTATAAAGATTCATTTTTGTCTCTCATTGCAATCCTGTGCCAGAATCTATTGTTTCTTGAATTTTGCATCATATGATTGCAAATTTGTATCCTCTTTTGTTCCTGCTACTCCATCAGTTCGTGGACACTTCTCAAGGTCTTCTATTGAGAAAGCCAAGGTGTTTCAAATGCTGAACAATGGTTGTGTATGAAGCCCTGAGTTTGGCAGATAGTGGGTGACTGCTGCTGCTTGGCTTTTGTTGAACAGCTTGGAGCAGTGCTTCATCATCAATGGTCAATAGTCATTCAGATCAAAGCTTATTTACATGGTTGCTGTTCCCAGAGTTGAAGCAGCAGAACCATTTTGCAAGTTTTCTCTGCTGTTGCTACCCTTGCACTAAACATTTGTTTCCAGTAATGATGCCAGATGCCTTGAATCATGAGTTTTTTATCAGTCATTCTTTCTTGTGGAAAACAATATTTATCAGAAGAATGAACAGCTCTATTAAATGATAGTATGTGCTTTGATGATGATGCAAATAACAGCTCATTTGCATTCATAGCAATGTTGCCAGAGTTAAAGATCTTTATCACAAAAGTGTTGTTAGTGTCTGGGAACTTTCGAATCACCTTGGTAGACACTGTCGTCTCAAATCTTGTTCTTTTGAGTATCATTTTTACAAAAGTTTAGTATATACAAGTAATTGCTCCTGTTCATTTTTATGCTAAAGTATTTTGCAAAATATTAGAAAAAATTTAGTTCTGCTTGCTAACTGTTATATGATGATTGATAAATGAATAAATATAATAAAACTTTTGAGCTTTTAATACACAGGGCATCATCTGGATTAAAGCTAAAAATACCTTTCTTCACTTTCTCAAAATTGTCTATGTAGTATTAAGCCAGATATAGCCAGATACCCTATCTTGCCAACACTGATTTGGGAGGAAGTTTTGCACCGGCTGCTATGCATGAAAATTGCTGTCTTCTGAACATCTTTACAAACACTTTTTCATATTGGAGTGAGTTGTTCACACTTCCATAGCATTTGCAAATTTTTTCAGATGCAACAAGACCATTGTCTACATAGGTTGAGATATATCATTTTTGGATAAAATATCTTCAAAGCATCATCAGTTTTAATCATGTATGGCCTGAATCAGAAACAAGAGAGTTGCAACTTATCATATTATTATACATACACAACATACTAATATCAGAACACTTGAAATTAAGAAATTTTTACTAACATTTTCATCCAGTTATAATAGATCTTCAAGTACAGTGGTGCCTCATATAATGTACGCTTTGAATAATGGATGCTGCGAACAATGGACTTTCTGTTTGGCCNTTAGTTAAGAAAATCGAGCCAAAAACTACTACAAGTAAGTTTGTTTGTCAGTTACTTTAATTGAAAAAACTTAAACAAGTTTAACTTTTACCAATAAAATATTAGAATATACTTATATGATGATATACCATTACAATAAATACAGTGGTGCCTTGTATAATGTACGCCTCAAATAACGGATGCTGCGAACAACGGACTTTCTGTTTGGCTGTTACGTGACTCGAGCAACGGACTTTCCATTCAGCAGTTACGTGAGGCGAACAACGGTCTTTCTGCAAACAAGTGCAAATGAGTTTCCACTCTTTTGCCATTGCCAATGACAATCTGCTATTTTTATAATATATCAGTATTATTAGAATATATTATTATTATATCTGAAGTACAGTACAGAGCTCCCGTTGGGATTAGGCTTGCTCCCTTGTTTATTACGTACAGTACATCACCTCAGTGCAGGGTATTTACATTTATTCAAGTGTTGTGCAAATTGTGGCTTCTAAAAAAAAAACAGAAAGGTGATTTCAATTGAAACAATGCAAGAAATCATCAGAAAGAGTGAAAGTTGACAAAAACTTCCTTGTCAAATGGGAGAGGTTCAACAGTTTACCAATACTCATTATCCAAACAGAGCTGAGGCCAACAGGATCAATGATCTCTACAATGACACCTTTGCCCGTCATTTCCAACAGGTGTTGAAGAAGAGAGAGAAACATACCACCTTGGACATGTTTTTCAAGAGGTCGGCAGCCAAAAAACAAAGGATGGAACAAGAGGAGCTGACCCTGCAAGCTCCGGTAGCCTCTCCTGAATCTGACTCCGATTAAAAAATAATAAAAAGAGACCTGCTGTAATGTGTAAAAAGTCTGTATCTGTATGAATGTGTAAAGAAAGTGTTTCTCCACCTCTTCCTGACAACATCTGACTACCCGGAATAATTGGTGACTGCTCTATTTTCATTTTTTTTATGGTACAGTACGGTTATTTTATGCTGTAGAACAAACTAGATGTTTTAACATGTGCAGTATTTCTACGAGAAAATGTGTTTCGTATAATGGACTTTTCACTTAACGGACATGCACCTGGAACGGATTAAGTATGTTATACGAGGCACCACTGTATATAATGCAGAACAAAATGGCTACATTAAAGTCAAATGCATACCAAAACAATAAGAATCAGAGTTGACAATTGTTTTGATAATTGTATTATTACATCAAGACTCCCTGCCAAGTAAAAAGTCAGACTGACTGACTATATATACAGGAATCAGAGTTGCCAATTTTAACATTCTGTGTTATATACCTGAAGATGTCTGTTAAAAATGGATGAAAACGTTAGTAAATATTTCTTAATTTCAAGTGTGCTGGTATTAGTATGTTGTGTATGTGTATTCTATTCCACTAATGTAGAGTTATTACCCTATTATATACCAGATAGCCACAAAATTGCAGTGATTGTAGAGTGATTTGTCTGTTCTGGAAAAGTACCATATATTGCAAAGGAAATGTATGTCTTGTTTTTGCTACTTCTGTCTGGAATGCAGAATCAAGAACTCTTACAATAATATTAACAATATACCTTCTTAAGAGATCCATTGTCTCATCAACACTCTTACCCAGGTAAACTTTCTGGCTTGAATTGATACAAATTTCTTGTAATTAATGTTTTTGTAGTCTGGATTCATTTGCAATACTTTTACAAAAATATTTTGAAATTTTCATTCTTTAGCACAGGGCTTCTTAAACTATGGGTCGCGACCCCATTTGGGGTCGCTTAGCGAAATCTTGGGGTCGCGAGATTTTAATGCAAAATATTGAAAATAATTTGTGAGAGTTTGAAAGTGAGGCATGCTTTGTGTCATAGGTTTTGTGAGTTGTGCTTTGTGTCACTTTTGGTGCAGCGAGACAATGATTCAGCAACACTGATTGTAGTGTGAACTAGTGTAGTGTTGTCGCTTTTCAGTGTATTCAGTTGGCTCTGTTCCATTGTAATACAAGAGTGAACTGTGGTAGCACTCCATTATTGTTTTTGCAAATTTGTATTTATCTGTCCATTTGACACTTCAAATCCTCTATCCCCATCTTTAAATTTAGAAATGTATAAATATAAATTCAATTATTAAAACCAATGGGATCGGTGATAATATTAACACACTAAAAATAAAAAAATTTTAGTTAAAAAACAAGTAAAAATTATACTCTTTAATTATATTCTATATTGAGGATTCTATGAGCCAAAACAAGACGAACAAATGGCAAGGAACAATCATCATTTTATTAATTTTATCCAAATGCATTTCGCAATCTAGGCCTCCTCAGTGGATACATCAAGATGTTATTCGTTGATTACGTTTTATACCCAACAGCCGTTCCCAGCATGCATCAACAATCCATTCCAGCATTCAAATTAAGCAAATGTACATGTTTGGCGATACAAAAATGTTCTACAATTTTTTTATTTTTAGTGTGTTAATATTATCACTGATCCCATTAGTTTTAATAATTGAATTTATATTTATACATTTTTAAATTTGTATATATCTTTATTTTATATTTTTGGGTCATGAAAAAAATCACAATCATAAATGGGGTCGTGAATGAAAAAAGTTTAAGAAGCCCTGCTTTAGCATATTAAATGTTATATCAACACTTATAAGAGTGTCATAAATTGGCAGTAAACTGTGATTTCTCACATCTTGGAGTATGTCATTTGAGAGTAGTTTTTTATAAACTACAGTCTTGTTACAGTCTGCAGAACAGTATCTTTCTGTCAGTTTGGAAGACGTTTTCACCAAATTATTTACAAATTCATTGCACATGAAAGTCAGATTGCTCCATTCAAATAGTAGAAATATAAACATATAAAATAGAAGTAATTTGGACACAAGGATAATAGATATAGTGTAATGCAGAAATGGGTAACCTTTCTTAATGTCACATCTTACTTCAGAGGATTTAAGAGGGTCACATATTATAAGCTTGAAAGTGTTTATATTTTATACCAATGTGTAAAAAGTATAAATATATTTTATACAAGCAAAATGCATTTAAAAAGATGTCTTTATTTAAAATAAAAAACAGAAGACTTTCTTTCATAATACAAAATTCATGACAGCAAAATTAAACTTTTAATAATTTATATTTTATCAGGCTATTAGAAGTAACAAAAGACCATATGGCTTGAAGCTACTAGTTTTCCACTCTAATTTAATATAAAATATTATTAGAGAATGATGATGTACTAAGAAAAAACTGAACTTAATTAAATTCAGATTATATTTTAAATTTAAATATATATAATTTTAAATATACGGTTTTTTTTTTATTTATTAAAGTCAAAATAAAATTTGTATCAGATTTTTCCCAGAGACAGGCCATATATTTTGTTTTAGTAGATGAAAATAATTATAATAATGTGTTTAAAAAGTATATAAGAGATTAATTAAATTAATTTATTTTAGTATTGGAAAGCCTCATTATTTCAGTTGAAGAACAGGAAACAGCTGCTGAAGGTAATTATCTATTTAAAGATATTAATATTTTTATAAGGCAATACAACAAACTATAACATAAGTTCTTACTGTTGAAATGCAAACAGAGAACTCATATTAAAAAATGTGTGTATTTATATATATAATCTATTTATTTAAAATACCTAAAAGCAAAATAAGATATAAGTACGGAATGATTATTATAATTTTTGATAGTAAATGACAGAATTATAGTGATTCAATTTAATTTTAACATGGATATAATAAGAGTTACTGTTATCTACTGTTATTAGTAAATAATTAAAAAATGAATTAGAGAGTCAAAAATAGAATATTGAATGCTCTTCAATTGCACATTTTGAATGATCATTCTTGTCCATCTCCCAAAAGCCAGTTGTTTTGCAATTGAGATTTTGTTGTAACTTCTCTTGGAGTCTTTTTCCTGATGCCATCTCTACAAAAATTTTTTTTTTTTTGACATGCAAAAAATGTTCTCTTTCTGCTCACTTGCTTTGTGCTTCTTGGTTGTATGATAGATATCAATATTTTAGCAAAATGATATTATGTACTGTACTAACATGCAGTAAACAGCACATGTCTGGCAAGAACTTCATGGGTTGCCAGATAGGTTTTATAAAAAGTAAATTGAAATTCTTGAAATGTAGCTAAAATTATTTTTAAAGTAGCTGAAAAGGTAACGAGTTGCCCAAATCTAGTAGTGTGGAGCCCTACAAATATCTCATCTGCTACTTATCTCTCAATCTAGCAAACCTGAAACCCAGCCATATTTTATGAGAGAAGAGAAAAAGAATAGTCAATGGGTAAAGTGAGTCATAGCTCACTCAAAAATCTGTTACTGTAAAAGCAAAGCCATATTGACTAGGTTAGAGTTGTTTGCAGTCTGTTATGCTCTTGTGCTATTGAGGTATGTGAACTTTGATCTAAATGTATGAGTTAACATATACATATCATAGTTTCAGCAGAATTTTCCCTTCAAATTCCAAAGTAGCTGTATTTCAAACTAATTTAACATGTAAGTAAATTCTTATATCCCAGCTGAGACAAATAGTATAGTTATAAACTAATGCAATTTCAAATTACAGTATTTGAGTTCAAATTAACAAGAATTTTTGTAAAACTAAGTACAAATATACAGTAGAGCATCAATTATCCGACTCAATTGGGGACTCAAGTTGGTCAGATAACTGAAAAAATCAGATAACCAAAAAGAATGAAAAAATACATTATTAGTATAGTATATTAGTATATCCCATGTAATTAGTATGTTAGTGTATTGCTATTAACCAACTTCGCATTGAATTTTCATTGATGTTAAGACTAACAATTTTTTTTTTAAATAATAATTGTCGCTATTGTATCGTTAAAAATTATTTTTTAATTATTTTATTGTTCACAAAACAAATAACCACTCATAATTAGAAAATTAAGTCTCGTTTAAATACTGGCCTCCCTTCAATGGTCGAGCCNTTTTTTTTTTTTTTTTTTTTTTTTTTTTTTTTTTTTTTTTTTTTTTTTTTTTTTTTTTTTTTTTTTTTTTTTTTTTTTTTTTTTTTTTTTTTTTTTTTTTTTTTTTTTTTTTTTTTTTTTTTTTTTTTTTTTTTTTTTTTTTTTTTTTTTTTTTTTTTTTTTTTTTTTTTTTTTTTTTTTTTTTTTTTTTTTTTTTTTTTTTTTTTTTTTTTTTTTTTTTTTTTTTTTTTTTTTTTTTTTTTTTTTTTTTTTTTTTTTTTTTTTTTTTTTTTTTTTTTTTTTTTTTTTTTTTTTTTTTTTTTTTTTTTTTTTTTTTTTTTTTTTTTTTTTTTTTTTTTTTTTTTTTTTTTTTTTTTTTTTTTTTTTTTTTTTTTTTTTTTTTTTTTTTTTTTTTTTTTTTTTTTTTTTTTTTTTTTTTTTTTTTTTTTTTTTTTTTTTTTTTTTTTTTTTTTTTTTTTTTTTTTTTTTTTTTTTTTTTTTTTTTTTTTTTTTTTTTTTTTTTTTTTTTTTTTTTTTTTTTTTTTTTTTTTTTTTTTTTTTTTTTTTTTTTTTTTTTTTTTTTTTTTTTTTTTTTTTTTTTTTTTTTTTTTTTTTTTTTTTTTTTTTTTTTTTTTTTTTTTTTTTTTTTTTTTTTTGTTATGTGCTGGTGTTGGTTTTATCAGTGATATATTTATACAAACCCAGTTTTTGAGATATATTTTTATTCTAAAAAATTAATTTGAATTACCAAATTTAGATTTAAAATCATAAAAGTTATAATTGCATTGCTTCCTATATGATGCTTTGAAATTTTAATTATAATATAACAACAGTTATTGAACCAACAGAATATTTATAATATGAAATTCTCATGTTTTATGATTTTTGTTAATATGCTTTTAATATTTTTTCTAAATCAGTTTTTTCACTTTCAGTGTTAGAAGATATTATTACTTCAACTGAAGAATTTTTGATAGTAAATGACAGAATTATAGTGATTCAATTTAATTTTAACATGGATATAATAAGAGTTACTGTTATCTACTGTTATTAGTAAATAATTAAAAAATGAATTAGAGAGTCAAAAATAGAATATTGAATGCTCTTCAATTGCACATTTTGAATGATCATTCTTGTCCACCTCCCAAAAGCCAGTTGTTTTGCAATTGAGATTTTGTTGTAACTTCTCTTGGAGTCTTTTTCCTGATGCCATCTCTACAAAAATTTTTTTTTTTTTGACATGCAAAAAATGTTCTCTTTCTGCTCACTTGCTTTGTGCTTCTTGGTTGTATGATAGATATCAATATTTTAGCAAAATGATATTATGTACTGTACTAACATGCAGTAAACAGCACATGTCTGGCAAGAACTTCATGGGTTGCCAGATAGGTTTTATAAAAAGTAAATTGAAATTCTTGAAATGTAGCTAAAATTATTTTTAAAGTAGCTGAAAAGGTAACGAGTTGCCCAAATCTAGTAGTGTGGAGCCCTACAAATATCTCATCTGCTACTTATCTCTCAATCTAGCAAACCTGAAACCCAGCCATATTTTATGAGAGAAGAGAAAAAGAATAGTCAATGGGTAAAGTGAGTCATAGCTCACTCAAAAATCTGTTACTGTAAAAGCAAAGCCATATTGACTAGGTTAGAGTTGTTTGCAGTCTGTTATGCTCTTGTGCTATTGAGGTATGTGAACTTTGATCTAAATGTATGAGTTAACATATACATATCATAGTTTCAGCAGAATTTTCCCTTCAAATTCCAAAGTAGCTGTATTTCAAACTAATTTAACATGTAAGTAAATTCTTATATCCCAGCTGAGACAAATAGTATAGTTATAAACTAATGCAATTTCAAATTACAGTATTTGAGTTCAAATTAACAAGAATTTTTGTAAAACTAAGTACAAATATACAGTAGAGCATCGATTATCCGACTCAATTGGGGACTCAAGTTGGTCAGATAACTGAAAAAATCAGATAACCAAAAAGAATGAAAAAATACATTATTAGTATAGTATATTAGTATATCCCATGTAATTAGTATGTTAGTGTATTGCTATTAACCAACTTCGCATTGAATTTTCATTGATGTTAAGACTAACAATTTTTTTTTTAAATAATAATTGTCGCTATTGTATCGTTAAAAATTATTTTTTAATTATTTTATTGTTCACAAAACAAATAACCAGTCATAATTAGAAAATTAAGTCTCGTTTAAATACTGGCCTCCCTTCAATGGTCAAGTCGTGTTGCCAGCTAAAACATGCAAAAATTTAACGAAAATAATATTAAAGTAGCCAAGACATAGCTAAATATTGTAGTGCCACATCACTAGTGGACATTTGAAATTTGCCGACTAGAACGGTCGGTTAACCGATGTGATGGTTAATTGGGGGTCGGATAATCGATGCTCTACTGTACTCATATATTCATATAATATATATATAAAGATAATCATTTACATGAGAGATTTATTCTTTTATTGCTTAGCTGTATAAATTTTGATGTAAATCTTGTAAATTCATTTTTTGTAAAGATATTTGACATTGTGTTATTTCATAGGCTGAATTTTTTAATATAAAATATTTGGATTTAGAAGTGAAATTATCATGTTTTTTTTATTAATTTTCACATAATATTTTTTATTGACAATATTTCCATTGCATATCACTTATAAAACCAACACCAGCACATAACAAGAAAAAAGAGAAAATTTACAAATGTTTTCTCATCTATGTGAAGTAGACATCCTCAGATATATACGATATCAAATGAACGGCTAACAAAAATAGAATGTATTTTACTTTGTAGAACATCAGCTAAATTAAGTTTTCTTTGTAAATGCAGGGATTTTAACATATTCCCTCCATCATTTTACTATATTAGATGTAATGTATTCGAATCATGTAATCAGTTTGAACTTTTAAAAACATTCTATTTCTGTTAGCCATTTGTTCGATATCATATATACCTGAGGATGTCTATTTCATATAGACAAAAACATTTGTAAATTTTTTCTTTTTTTTTTTTTTTTTTTTTTTGTTATGTGCTGGTGTTGGTTTTATCAGTGATATATTTATACAAACCCAGTTTTTGAGATATATTTTTATTCTAAAAAATTAATTTGAATTACCAAATTTAGATTTAAAATCATAAAAGTTATAATTGCATTGCTTCCTATATGATGCTTTGAAATTTTAATTATAATATAACAACAGTTATTGAACCAACAGAATATTTATAATATGAAATTCTCATGTTTTATGATTTTTGTTAATATGCTTTTAATATTTTTTCTAAATCAGTTTTTTCACTTTCAGTGTTAGAAGATATTATTACTTCAACTGAAGATAAAATAGCAACTTCAGAAGGTAATTTAAATATCAGTTTTAAAAATAGATTAAAAAGTTTAATTTTGTAATAATTTTATGAATTCATTTTTAATATCTAAGTAATTAATAATGATGAAAATATATATATTTAAAAAATTAGTGGTAGATATTTAGAATATAATTGAAAATATTTATAAAAATGCATATTTACATATTGACATTATTGAAGAGTTTTGAAATTTTTAATGATGATATTAATTAATTTAAGTAATATGCATAACTAGTAAAGAAATAAACTTAAAGAAATAAATAAACTAATTAATTAATATTAATTATTATATGTAATTTAATTTAATAATTAATTAATTTTAGTATTACATAATCATACTTCAATACTTTAATTTTGAAATTTGATATGTAAATTTTTTAATCAGTCTTAGAAAGTATTGTTACATTAGTCGAAGATGAAATTACAGCTATTGAAGGTAATTTTTTGATTTAAATTGAAATAGTAAATTTATAATGTGTAATTTATCAGTAAACATATAGCCCTTGATGATGATTAAAATTGATAAGTTGATTTAATTTTATAAATGTCTGATTAAATATAAATTATTTTAATTTTAGTGCTGCAAAATGTTGTTAGCTATGCTGAAAATCAAGTGACAACTGCTGAAGGTAATTGAAAAATTAAGTTATTCATTAAATTTAATAACAACAGTTGATGAATTTTTTAGTTTGTCAATATATATTTGTTTTATTTAAGAATATTTTTGGAATTTGTGTAAATTTATATGAAACTGTAGATAACCTACCCATACTAGACATTAATTTACACAAATCTGACATTTGAGGTCTGTCTATAAAAGAATCCAGTCATTGTTAAATTAATACAATCAGAATGGTTTGTATGACATCAGTATAACTTGGTAGTGAAGGAGAATGTGCCTGCATGAACAATGATGACTTCACTGTACAAGCCAGTGGGGCGTTAGATGTTGTTGAATGAGTTGGTATACTCCATGGAAACTATTTGGATGATTCAGAAGGCTTTTGAGGATGATGCAATGAGTGCAGAGTAAATAAAAGTGTGGCACAAGCTCTTGAAAGATTGCTGAGAATTTGTTGAAAGTTATCCAAGTTCTAGAAGGCCTGCAACAAGAAGAACATGTGGCAATGTTGAATTGTGTACATTCTGCAATCAACAAAGATCAGTGATTGGCAGTGTGAAAACTAGAAGCTTATTTGGGAATTCCAAAAACTACTGTGTCCGAGATTTTGACAGGATTTTGGCCTGAAACGTTTCATGGCAAAATTTGTTCCACAGCTACTGCTATCAGAGCAGAGTGAACATTCTGTTGTAGTTGCTAATGTAGTTGCTTCAAATCTTTACCAATGAACCAGATTTTTTAAAGAAGTCAAATATGAATGTATCATACAAGCATATGCATCACATATTAGCAGAAAATCTTGTAGGATATACATACACCATCAACAATCCATAAGAACTGGTATCAAAATTGGAAAACATTGTGTTAACAGACTGTGAACACCTAACACACTTTGAATTTGTTTCTATGTTTATTAGACTGGTGTCCTGTTTCTACATTTTTAGGGATTTCCTATTTCAAATAGTATCTGATGCACATAAACACCATTGCAAATATTAGACTTAACAGATAGGCTATGCTACTCTCCTTTTTTCACTTTTAACAATTAAACATAAATACAGAAATATGGTGTTTTAACGGGGATCCATTTGGGGATCTATGTGAGTTGTTAATTAGAAACCTGCAAGGTAAAGCAATAGAGAAATTCTTACAAACATCCATTATATGTGTAATACATTGATGATATTTTTATTATCTGGAAGTCTAAACCAAACCTAGAGGAGGTGTTGCAGGGATTTAATTACAACCAGTATGGATTAACATTAACACTCGACCAAAGCATTAATATTCAAGTTTATTTCTTTATTTATTTCTTAACCTTGTTAAAAAATGGGCAATTAGTAACACAGGTATATTGCAAACCAACCTATAATTCCTTTTTTATCTTCACTACATCAAATAATCTGCATAATTATAAAAAGGTTGTAAGGAACCAAGTCCGAGCATTATTTTTATTTACTTTTATTTTTGCTTTTGATTATATTTTTGTTTGGGGCTTATGTTTTGTTAGGACGAAGGTTTCCTCACCATTCACCTTAGAAACTTAAAAATAGAAGAGAAACCAACTCACCAACGAGAGAAAAGCGCTGTAGAAAAAACTCGTGCACACTCGCACTCCAGAGTGGAAAAAAGTAAGTCCACACTGAGAAAAGGGGGGGAGACCCCACCAGCACAGTTTAGGGACTCGCTAAACCTTAAAGAATAAAAACATCCCGAAAATTGTCAAAAAGGATAATGTAAAAGATTAGCGAGTAATGTTGGAAAATAGGCTGCCAAACAAACAGAAAATTTATTGTTAGCAAATAAGTATGTAAATGAGGGGAGTGGTCGCAGTCAGAATTGTGACATCACCTCACAGTATAAAGACTGAACCTCAAGTGAAAACGGACGAGGTGAGCTTCTGATAGCAACGAGCTTGGTGAGCTTCGTAGTAGTGAACGAGAGAGGTGTCAGATAGGATTAAATAGTTCCAAGGCGATTTTGAAGTTATTTGATTTGTGGATCGACGAATAGAGAAAGTCTGGAGAGTTGAGGAAATAGGTTCCTAGTATATTGAGGTGATGATTAGGATCTTTAATTCATAAGAATTATTATTGTATATAAGTTAAGTCTTTGAATTTTGTTGAATTCCAAAGGGGAATAGAATTAAGTTAGAAACTAGATTCAGTTGAGTTTTGTCAGGTTGATTCTTATTGATTTTCATTGAATAAATTGTTATTTGATTTTTACTAAATTTTGTATATAGTTTATTACTAGAAATTAATTAAATATTTGATTTGTTATTGACAAACTTTGTCCTTATTTAATTTCGGTGCACGCTAAAAGTCCAGGCTTGGCACACTAATGCGAATCCGCGTAAAGTACCCATTAGGGAACGGCTATTTCCGGCACACAGTCGTGTCGATAATCGTTGGAAAAGTCAGAAAAATAAAACAGTACTTTATAAGATGACATTAGATCTTTAGTTAGGAGAGCTTACCACCATTGCTCTGACATTAGAGACACACTTTGGGAGTTAAAACATATAAAAAAAGCAACATAGCAGCACATTGCTACATTCTAAAACTTATCTCTAACATGTCTCAGAGTGTGGAATACAACCTTAAAAACCAGCACCTGATCAATAAAATTTTATTCAATACACAGTCAGAAATGCACTGTAATAGACTATGATCCCAGACTACTCTTTAGTGTATAAAAGGATCGCTAAATATATAAGCATGCACATTACATATAAATGTTATTCTACTATATTTAAATTGTTAACAAATGACAAAGACAAAGTTGTAGTAGCAGAGCCCTGGGGTATATTTGATTCTAGTTATAGACAACAGATTTAACAAAAAGTTAACATGTTGTATCAACAAATAGATTATTGAACCAACAAATAAAGGAACACAGATATGCACCACTAAAATTAGATTTGTTACAGTACTAGTGCACTAAGCCCGTGAGCCCAAGACGTCACCATATTGGGATGAAGCAAAAATTATACGAAGGAAGTTTGCTAACTAGAAATTAAGAACTTTAGAGGCCTTGAAGATCTTTCATGCTAAAACTAAATGCGATTGCATTAACAATAAAGATCGATCTTGTTGTTCACCTGGCAATCTTTCATCATCAACCCACCCACAACAATGTTACACTTGCAATTGTACCCAAGTGTCTAATTAAAGATTTACTGTTATTGAGTTATATATAACATCTAATGCACATGTCTTGTTGTTGATCATTATTTTTATTCAATGTTTCTATTTTAATTTTGAGTAATAATTGAGACCCATACATTCCCACTGTCATTCATCAGTCTGTCCTTTGTCAATCTTGAGAATGGAGTTATATAGATTAAAATCAAGACCAGATCTGGAGAGCTTAGGGCCAGAGGCCCCAATTAACTATATACGAATTTCTGGTCTAGACTGGAAATCACATGATTTCAATTCAATAATTTTCTTGAGTATGGAATTAAATAACAGTGTGACTCAATTGTTATCAGGAGAAGTATGAAGACAGAGGCAAGACAGTTCTAAAATACAGACTAAATATGAAAAGCTTAGGGGCTAGAGACTCCAAGTAACTATATACAGGTATCCCTTGTACAACATGGTACTTCTACAACATGGTTTCGCTCTAACATGGTAGGAAAATTGGGGATATCCCCCATACAACATGACTTTTTGATTGCGCTCTAACATGGTTTTGGAAATCTTCTGTACAAAATTTCATAATTTTTAAGTGTAAACTTTATTATTCAATTTTGTTTTTATTTAAGTAAGCAGGTGTCATCTCAACTTTACCCATGGATTTTAGAATATTGAAATTTTCAAATTATTTTGTTCCTTTTGTCAGGTTTACTTTAACAAAAATCATTAGGACAAGGAAGAAAAAATTGCACTAACTTTCCTATCAACTAGATGTTGCTTTCAGAACTTTAGTCCTTAAAACTGTCACCATGTTTTCTTTTTATAGATTAATCTTTGTATGTAGTAAAGTTCATTTAAACATTTTTAGGTAAGTGTTATTAAACATTTTTTTAACCATAGGTATTACCTACGAATGACTACTTCATTTATAAAAATGATGAATGAAATATGGCAGTATCCCAGTATTTGAACACAAATTCGGGAAAAAAGTCTTTGAGTACTCAACTGAACAAACATGACCCAACATTAATAACATATTTTTATTTTGTAATTAATAAAAAATTTGAAAATGTTGCCAGTACTTCTGATCAAGATTGACAAAAAAACTGAAGCAATGATGATACTTTGTAAAAAGAAAATGCTCTTATTAACTAAAATTAATAATTTTATTAATTTTAGTTAATAAGAGCATTTTATTTTTACAAAGTATAAAGTCTACGTGTAATACAGTATTTTTAATTGTGATGTTAATTAGAAATAAATTATTGATTGCTTTAATGAACATATTTCTCTTAGAAATGAAAAAAGCATAGTATACTTTTGCTAACTTCTGGAACCTAACCCTATGTTTTGCATTAGTGCTTTGTTTTGTGTAGGATGGATTCACATAACATGACACTTTTTTGGAATGTAACTATCATGTTATATGAGAGATATCTGTGTGCATTTCTGGTCTGGACTGGAAGTTGTGATGTTTTTAAAATTAAAAGATGATTAAAAATTGCAGCCTAGAGAATTGTAACAATGTCACAATAAATATTTATTTTACATATTGTTTATATAATTTTATTCATTTACATATCTAATTATCTTTATATGATATGATGTATTAGTTTATTTAATTTTCAAAAAACATTATTTTAAATAAGAGAAGAACAAATTATCACACAGGTGTTAATTACATATAAATATCACTATATTTGCAAGCGCTTTCGACATTCTATAAAATGTCATTCTCAGGCAAACACAATCTGAAATAAAATTTTTGAATTAAAACTAATGACATTAGTCCTTTAGAACAAAACTAAACTTAGAACAAGTAAACATAAAGAATTTAAATTGACACATGCGTGGTGATAATGTGCATGCATCATAATGTGTTGAATGGGCACTGAGGAAGAGCTAGAGATGATGTTTTAATCTTTTATACAAGCTGACCCACATAGAAGGCAACTGAAGCATGGCGGAGTTGCATGGATTTAGTAAAATGGTAAGGAGGGCCTTCCAAACATACACCAGGCTCCTCTGATTGCAATACCTGAGCATCACTACACTGTCCCAAAGCAGGGTGTGTTGGTGTTGTAACACCATCCTTGCTAGCTCAGTGTCACACCTGCCTGCCCTGATGGAATGTTGGTATTCCGAGATGCGGCAAGATAATATTCTAGTTGTCGCTCGTACGTAGTGGGTGTGAATACCAGATGTGTTTTCCAGTGGGATAGAATATATTTCAGACTTCTCTAGTATGGAAGTAGCATCCCTTTCATTGCCTAGCAGCCTCCTGAGATTTGGTCACAGAGTGACTGACAGAAATAGCATGTGTTGTCTAAAAATATGGCAAATGCAGGCAGTGATGTGGCCACAGAATGATAATGAGGGACAGACAATTGTGCATTCCTTTGGGATGCATAAAGTGGTGGCGGGAAAAAGAGATCTTTTAACCTTGTTCAAGATATACTTATATTTGGAATTAGTATAACCCGCTGCATTTACTACTGAGCGAATGGCAGTAAATTCAATATTGATAACAGTTTGTGTGGAAGGCAACAGAAAGGTCCTTCTAATTAAAGGGGCTATAGCTGCATTGATGTAGTGCTGCAAATGGTATGCTGTGGCAGGCATTAGACGGGGTATGTTGTCAAATTTATGGAATACGGAGTACATTATACCTCCCTGGGACTTGGAGATGTTTAGAATTAAAAATGCAATTTTTTCCCCCATTTTCTTTTTCCCAGGTAAAGTCGATAGTAGAGTAAACATTCATAAGAAAGTATTTGAGGATGAGGAAATCCTGGTCTTGCCAGGCTACGAGAATATTGTCTACGTATCTCAGATATATCAATGGGCAGTGGTGATAGCGGGTTCGCACAGGTTCGGCCGAATCCGTTGTTAACATTTTCAAAGTTTTCCGAACCCATTGTTAAACACACGTAACATTTCTCAGTGGTTTTGTTTCTTTTAAAAAATATATTAAAATATACGTATTATACTGTTTAACACTACTAAACTAGAGCCTTATACCCTGTTTGCCTGGTGCAACCTCCATCGACCGTTTCAATCGCGATCGACTCAAGAGAGTGCTCGAAACTATAGATCCATTCATAAGAGAGATCCCACACGCGCAAGAAAATACAAGATGGCTGTGAAACACGTGTCGAGCTATCAACAGCGAAATAAGAAAGATATTGTATTTTAAGACACGATGACATCTATTATTATAATAATACCTAACAATAAAATAAATGATTTAGAAAAGTTTTTCTTATTTAACTGTTTTCCCTATGTCTTTTTCTGATTAAAAAAAGCCAACTTTTATGTTTATAAATTATTTTGAATGAAAAATATTAAAATATGTACAAAATAAACCATTTTGAACACACTTTTTTTTATTATTTATTAAAAAAAAATATAGTTCTGGCATAAACAATGTTAAATTTTAACTGACTTAATTTTGTGAACGCATCTTTTTTATTTATATGAGTATCTTAAGGTCAGTTTTTGCACTAATGTTGCTAATGCACCATTTGAACAAAAAAAAATTGTTAAGGAAAAATTTTCTGTTAGCGAACCGTTTGTTAAATATTTCAAATATCACCACTGTCAATGGTTCACTAGGGAAAACTAAAAACCCTTTGCTCAACATGTCTCGTGAGCAATTCTGCTAGTACGGCAGACAGTGGTGAGCCCATTGGGACCCCTTATTTTTGCAGGTATATTTTCCCATTGAACTGAAACTAATTGTGTTCAAAAATATTCATTGAAAATAATTGTGTTCAGTGACAAAAGTAAAGCCTCACATATCTCTAAGACTTGATGCGCTGAAAAGCACTCCTTGATGAGTAGTGTATTGGCAAGCATAACTGCCTCAAACTGAGTACTGAGGGGTAGATAGCTACAACTTCCATTTTGTAGAAACTGTTTCTATTAGGGGACAATTTACCTAATGCAGCAGATAAAGATGCTTTAGCCATGATGGAGGAAGATGTAACAAGGGGAAAAGGAGGAAGGAGCCCACTTAGGAGCTTGGTAAGTGCCTTTTTAAGGTAGTAGGTTGAGTGGGTCCTTTTGTTAACCAGCAACCTCAGTGGCCAGCTCTATTTAAAGAATAGCCTGGGACATGCTACATTGGACGGAGGTTCCATGTGCCTGGGAAAAGAGCAGATATACTCGATAGAGATACTATTTTCTTAGTCTTTCTTAAAACAGTAGGAGTTGGATCAACCTGTAAGACTACTGCATGGGATTGGCTATGGAAGTCCATGACTCTGGTTAGAAAATTTTCTTCCCTGCATAAGACAAACTTCTTCTTCTTGTTCGAGATCCGTAGCCTTAAGAAGTGGGTCATCGCCAAGTACCGCCTTAAGAGTTGGCTGTTGAAGGAGTTTTTGTTGTCACCCATGGATTGCTTTTGAGATGCAATCATTGAAATGATGGAAAGTTCCATATCTGGGAATTTGGTGGCCACTTGACAATTCTTGAGCACCGCTAGGACCTGTGGGACCGCATCTGTGGCACCAGTATCACATTGTGGGGGATATACTTAGGTCCCCTTTGTATGATCATTTTAAATGTTAGAACATTCCAATATTTGAATTCTCAGTAAACCATACAATTTGAAAGTGTAGAATCTGAAATGGATCCATAAAATAGGAAGAAAATATTTGTTTCCAATAAAGTTTTCTGGAAAATGTATGGAAGGTGTGGTGTGGTATTGATTAATGTTTAAGATAAGTTTTAGCTTTAAATGACACATTGCTTAAACAATAACAGTTTTGATACTCACTGTGTACTAATCTTATTAAAATTTAGATGATAATGGATAAGTAAACTAATGTCATTGCACTGTTAAAGCAAAGACGTCATTTGTTTGAATGCTATATTTTTTATCTATGATGCCTCAATGTAAACATTGTCATTATGTCAGTATGTCATTAGGCATGGTGGTATTTTTAACATTTATAAACAATATACTTTATTTGTAGCATAATATAAATATTCATATATAGGTATAAGTGTATTTCAGAACTATGTATCGAATGATCGTAATTANAGTTAAGAATTTTATTTTGATTATTTAATTAGCTTCATTAAAATTCTTGTAATGAAAAAAGTGTAATAAAGTTTGATATAATTTATATATATCATATTTAAAGTTTATTTAAAGTAAAACATACAATTAATTTTTTAATTACTAAATTTATTAAAATTAAACAACAACCAAAATATAATAATTTTTTTTAACATTATAAAGCCTATAAAACTTGTTCTGCTTCTCATCTAAATATATTTTTCAGTGCTTGATAATATTGTAACTTCAGTTGAAAATAAAGTTACTGCTAATGAAGGTAAAATAATACTACTTTTATAGTTACAATTTAGAAATTCTTAATTAATAATTTAAATTTTGAGTTTTATTTCATAAAACTTTATTAATTTATGAACTACATTTATATGCATATATATATTTTAGTGTTGGAAAATATTGTTAATTTAGTTGAAAATCAAATAACAGCTACTGAAGGTATTTAAATAATTTTATAATGATTTTATTAATAATTATGCTTTAATTTAATAAATATTGCTTTTGTTTTTAAGTGTTAGAAAATATTGTTAATTCAGCTGAAGATCAGATAACAACTGAAGAAGGTAATCTAAGTTAAAATAGTTATAATATAGTTTGTTATTTTCAAATGGAAAATTAAAATGAAAGAAAGTAGCTTAAATGAATTAATATTTCTTTATTTGTGTGCATTCTTAATATTAACATATATTTCTGAATTGCATTTTCATGTGGCTATGTGAAGTAAATGTCATAATTGAATTTCTTAGAACACCAAAAATCATCTCTTAATTTGAAAACCACATTTTTTTAGATCAATGTAATGTAGTAAAAGCATTTTTCTTCTTAGTTGTAAATCCTTAACTAAGATTTACATTCTTCCATTTTCCTAATAATTTATTTTGTTTTAATTTATTAAAATTCATCAATATATTATTTCATATTTGTTCTTTTTTTAAAGTTATACATTTAATGTTAATTCTGGGATTAGGTATATTATGAATAGATTTTATATTTTCTTCTTTGTTGTTTGGCATTTTATTAACAAATGCTAGAAAGTCTAATAGTTCTTTGTTATTCTTATCTATCATAATATTTGTAAAATCGTAAATTATTAATTTATTATTATTAATAACATTGTTCATAGCATCAAGTCTAAATTGCATTTGTTCTTTGTAAGTACCCAGTTTAGTCGACTCTAATTCAATTTTTTTGTATTTTTCATTCACTAATTGTAGTTGTTTTTTAATTCTATAATTTTGGTGTGAATATTTAATTTCATCATGAATAAGTGTAAATTGGTTATCTGTCTTTTGATTGCTAGCAGTAATAAGTTCAACTGTCTTTAGCCATAACTCTGCAGTTGAGATGTCAGATGTCTCTGGATTAGTTGACTCGGTTAAACTATTAGATTTAAAATTCTCACCTGATGTATTTGGAGAAACTGTTCTTCTTGTTTCTGTATAGTCAGTTATAAGATTTGTTTCGGATCCAGATGATTTTGCATAGTTAGATAGTTGATTTGAACGATTTGTAGGTGGTCTTCCTCTTTTTGTAGGTGTTTTCTGCAGAGGTCCAGGGTTAGATTCTATGCCAGACATTAGCAATAGTAGCAAAATCAGTTTATAATTAATTATTATAGTGAACAAATAAAAATATTTTATGGAAATTAACAAGAAAAAAATGCCTTTGATGAAGCAGAGAGAAAAAGTCACCAACAGACTTGACGATCGAAGAACCCCCCCTAGAACACCAAAAATATGGAGTTGTTATTCTCTTGTTTAGAAGAATAATTTAATTTACTTTCATTTTTTTTTATAGATTAAGTTGCTCACAAAATATATTATTATATCTTAAATTCTGGGTGAGTCAATTGTTTTCAGTTACAGTTCAATATTAAATGAAAGCTGTATAAATTTAAACTGTAAGACCTTGACTGGACAATGTGAATGGAAGGGACATAAATGTGAGTGTATGAGCTTGGGTTGAAGGATGACTCGTTTTTGCATAATGAAACCATTTATTGAGTTTGAGATGTTCTCATTGGGTACAATATTCGATTAGAAACACAATTTTTACAATAGTTCTGGCATCCAGTTCAACAGGAAATTAGTCATCCACCTGGAAAAGCTCAGAATATAGCAATTTGCAGTAAAGTTTGTCAGATGACTCACAAATAATCTGTCAAGAAGGGACATACAACTCATTTTGAAGAAAGTGTGGTGAAGATGGAAATGTTGATGATAATGGCAAAATCTTGAAATATCCAAAGAAACACACAACAGAGAAAACTAAATTGGCCTACAAAGGAGCATTTGATAGAACTCTTTAATTTAAATGAAAAGACACCCCTTGTCCTTGAGACGTGGACTGTCTTTTTGTTTAAATGATCTAAGAAAATCTAAACAATCCCGTGCCCTTGAGACATGATTTTATAGATTTGGTCCCATGTCTAACATTACAGTTGGTCTTGAATAAGCTTCATGACTCAATTGGCCTTGCATCTGTTTCTAAGTGAAATTAGAGACTATCTCAGTCATGCAAAATCATCAATGTTGATAATTTGACAATGCTAAATTCAATTCCAGTCATAGATGTTTGTTGATCTGGGATCTTCATTATTTTGGATCAGACAATGCAAACCTCTTCCTGACAGTTATTATTTCAAAGTTCAAAGTTACTCATAATTTCTGATTGTAAACAAATTAAAAATATTATTTTATAATATTATTAGAGGAATGGATTTAAGTGAGTGTTTAGACTATGTGCTGGACCTCACAACTGTAAAATTCAGTATTATTTTAAACATGACAGAGGTACTATTAGATTGTGATAGTTTAAACATTTGAACATAGAATGAAATTATGTTTGAATGTTGAAATTGTTCCATTTACATAGTTAATAATGGCTTCAAGAAAGCCAAAAACATTTCTGTAAAGTTTGCCTTAGTCTAGCAGTAGCTTTTATTAATTTATTTTGTTTAATTAGCTTAAAATATGTGCATTTTTGAACATTTCTCTATAGTATATAATACATGGTATCTCCATTTTCTTCTTCTTCTTTATCTTCATCTTTTCCCATGTTTATATTCGGTTGGCATTTCCTTCTCTAATACGTTCTCTCCATTTCTTCCTATCAAGGACTTCTTCCCTTTAAAGTCCCACTGATTCAAGTCTTCCTCCACCTTATCTTTCCAAAGCAGCTTTGGTCTTCCTCTTTTTTTACTACCAGTTTTCCAACTTTCCAACATAATCTTCACTTCTTTGCTCTATGTGTTCAACCATCTCAACCTACATTCTTGCATCTTCCTCTCAAGAGACCCACCTTAACAGAACCTCTAATAAAATCGTTCCTTATTTTATCCTTTCTTTACACTCCACACATCCATCTCAACATGCTCATCTCTGCCACTGCCATCTTTCTTTCTTGGGCTCTTGTAATTGCACATGACTCAGCCCCCTATAACATTGCAGGTCTAACAACCGATTTGTACAATTTGTACAATAAATCTTCCTTCATTTCCCTGTGCCTTTCCATCAGCTGTTTCAATGCAAAGATAGCATCAGTCATACTCCTTCCCAGTAGAAAGCCAAACTGTTTCTCTCCAATCTCAGTTTCCTGCCTAATCCTTCTATCTACAATTTTCTCCCAAATCTTTATAGTATAGGAAAATAACTCTATACCTATGTAGTTTCTGCAATCCTGTACATCCCCTTTCCCTTTAAAGACCAGCACAAGAATATTCTTCCTCCATTTATCTGGAATCTTCTCCTATTGCCAAAGTTTCTTCATAAGGTCCGAGAGAATATCAATCCCCTCTTTACCCAACCCTCTCCAAGCCTCAATCGGAATCTGATCAGCACCTACTGATTTCTCCATCTTCATTTCTCTAAGCACCCTTTTCACTTTTTCTATACTAATATCTTGCAACACTCCTTCATTTGCCTCTGCATCCTTGTATGTAGTTCTGGGGTTTTCTTAGTTCAATAAGTCCCTAAAATACACTTTCCATCTTTTCTTGACCCTTTCATAATCTTGTAATACTACTACTTTATCATCTTTAATCAGTTTAATAGAGGAAAAATCTTTTGATGTCTTATCTCTTGCTTTGGCAATTCTCATCAGCTGCCTTTCTTCACCTTTTCTTTCAAAAACTTTATATGCCTCTTTTAAAGCCTTTGCAATAGCCACCACCTTTTTAATCATTTTATTTGCCAAATGGTAAGTTTCGTTATCTTCAGGCCTTCCCCTCAGATCTCACATTTTCATTGCCTCTTTCTTTTGTTTAACTGCAGATTGTACCTCAGCATTCCACCACCAAAGTTCCTTTCCTTTTGATGACCTCTTCCCCAAAGTTTTTCCCAAAACCTCTTATACTTTCAAAATGCAATTACTATTCAGCAGCCACCATGTTTGCACATCATTCGGGAACTGAATTTCTTTTAGCACTTACCTTAAACTCTTTTTTCAATTTCTCTTCTTTCAATCTCCACCGTTTAATCCTTTGTTCAATCCAGCTAACACAATTCATACAATGGCCCATAAGCAAGTCACAATTCACCAGAAGAACTCTATGTTGTGCAGGAACACTTTCTCCATTTAACACATTACTGTTTCTCATTTCACTAAGATGTCTCCTGTAGCACAAGAAAAAATCAATCTGGCTGGATATACCCCCACTCATATTTGTAATCAGCTGATTCACTTTCTTTTCAAAGTAGGTGTTAACTAATGCAAGGTCAAAAGCCACAGCATGATCGACTAGTCTTTCTCTTTCTCCATTCCTTTCTCCTGTTCTCCACTTCCCAAGAACTCTTCTTTCCACTTTCTTCCTCTTCAGATCACCCCCACAGATTAACATTTCATTCACAGGAACATGCATTATAATGATATCTCAATCTTATAATATAATCAAGACGGATTGATAATGATAATAATAATAATAAGAACAGAGCCCAAACAGTTAGGCGTTGAAAGTTGAAATTTGGTACACAGTTAGCATATGTCAGGAGAACGTACATTAATTTAAGAAGAGATTTTTTGAAATTCCCGCCCCCTGTGGGGATAGGGACAGGATTAAGGTTTACCATGAAAAACTTGGCTTCTATTATACTATTTTAGATGCGAGTTTTTGCGTTTTTGATTGCATTTTAATAGGGTATGCCATGAGAATGCACATTAAGAAGGGATTTTTCGAAATTCCCACCACGGGGGGAGAGAGAGAGAAGGTTAAGGATTACCTCAAAGAACTCGGCTTCTACTGTACTATTTTAGATGTCTTTTTTGCATTTATGTGGGAAATCGAACATATTTTTAGACCCTTCTAAAAATTCTCAATGATATTTAGTGTTTCATCATATATAAAGTTGACACGGGGAGCGCATGCATATAAGTTTGCTTTATTCAAACTCTTTGTCTTAATGTTCAATTTTATGTTCGAATTTATATTTATGAGTGATTCGGGAAGATCCAGCTTATTTTTTAAATTTAGTAAACCTGAAGAAGAACCCAGAAGGGGTTACAAAAACATTTGTTATTCATCATTTAGTGGTACTATGCACCAGTTAGTGGTTGCTGTGAATCTTAATTATCATCATCCTGGTGTGGTAAGCAGATATATAGAAATTTTCTAATTAGTCTTGGAAGAGAGGGACCTAATTCTTGCACTTGGTGAAAATAGGTAAGATCAGCCATAATCTAATAATCTTAATTTTTGATAGCATTACTTTTTGTCTGAGCAACGACAGGCTCATCTGCTAGTATATATAATAACATACACAATACTTTGTATCTCAGTGTATATAAATAAAAATGTAAATGTTCGTTTGTTCAAAATCTTAAATCTCCAAAAGTTCTTAACCGATTGCTTTGAAATTTTGACACAACGTTGTATTTTAATACATGCATATTTTTATATTGTATAGATGTCAAAATTCCCCTCCCTCGCGGGAGAGGGACAAAATTAAGGCTTACCGTGAAGAATTGGTCTTCTATTATTCTGTTCTAGATGCGGTTTTTTGTATTTTTGATTGTTTTAATAGGGTACATCAAGAGAATGTACACTAAGAAGAGATTTTTCAAAATTCCCCACATGGGGAGTGTTATACGTTTATAATAGAAACATTTTGAGCCACAGCAACGCATGGCCAGATCCAGCTAGTCTATATATAAATGGACATGTTTGTGCCTACACATCACTCTGCAGCAGCCAAAACTACACATCGCACATGAATGGTGTTTGTGTGTGGTAGTAGCCTCGAGTCTCCCATTGTGTACTATGGTGGTTGCATCTTGATAGCTGTAAGGGTATGAGAGATATGGGGTTTGAAAGTGGTTGACTTCGAAAATGTGTGACGCTTCAATGAGAATGTTCCAGTTTTTTCTGGAAAGTTCCAGAACGTAGAGGTGAAATTTGGTACACAGTTAGGGTACATCATGAAAACACACACTAAGAAGGGATTTTTCAAAATTCCCCCGCAGGGGGAGAGGGAGAACATTAAGGCTTAACTTGAAGAACGGCTTCTACTGTACCATTTTAGATGTGAATTTTTTTGTTTTTAATTACGTTTAGTCTTCGTTGAGTACTTAGGGGTATTAAATTGATAACATTTCAGACATTGTTATAAATATTTTTTATATATTTCGATTTTTTAACCAAATGTTTGAACCGTTTTAAATTTGAATTCTTTTTTGCATATTGGTTCGATTATAGAACGATTGTAAATGTTCCAGAAAATTTATCAAATTAAAAACAGTTCATTTGATTCTCGGCAATTCTCATCATTCTCTGTGGTTGGTGTTAAATAACAATTACTATGGTTGTTGAAATATTGAATGTAAATAGGGTTTGCTTGCAAAATCCACACGAGCGAAGCCACGGGTAACAGCTAGTATATTATAAAAATTTACTTCAGTGTTGGTTTTCCTGTTTAAAGTAAAGCTAAACAATTTTGTAAAATATCAATTTCTAAACTAATAATAAATTCTAATTTTTTTTTTACATTAAACAAAATAAATTTAATATAATGGAGAAAGATGTAGTGTTGTTCTTATTTTTAACCAAACAAATTTTGTTTATTAAAATCAAATGATTGCCAGATTACATTGGACTATATTACTGCTATTATTAATAATTAAATGCTCAGTTGGCTCCAGTTGGCATCATAAGTAATCAGTAAGGTTATATCTAAATTACAAGTTATGGAAACAAAGATCAGATAGAGGTGTTGGTAGTGTAACTGGCAACTTATCCATATATTAAGCAGCAGTTGCAGGTTACAGTACCACTCTGAACCGATTCTTTTCTTCTAGAAACTTCTAAATTAATTAATAATATCTAATTATCAAATTTAATACAAGACAGCATCTTATCCGTCTACCTTTAGTCCAAATTATATAATATTTATATACTTAATTAACTACATTATAGTCAAATTAAAACTCCAGCAGTATTGTCTGCTTTTTACTACATGATGGGCTTGGTTTTATATGAAATAATTATTATAACTGATTCAAGTAACTGTTAATTCATTTATTACTTAATTAGTTATATAATTAAAATTAAATACTATTAGCTTAAATAACACCTTAAATACTCTTTTCAGCAAGACTTCAATTTATTTAAATGAATATTTTCGACCTCTTTTCATAGGTGTGCGTCAGGTTTAACAAAAAGATTCAAATTTTAAAAATTTTGCAAAATTTTTAGTATTTTAAACAATTTGAAAAAATAAAGCATTTTTAAGATATTAAAATAAATAGGGCTTGATAGATTTAGCTATCAAAATTTAATATTTCTNCTTTATTTCAACTTTTTTTTGCTAATTATGTATTCGCTTGAACTTCGTTAAAACCTTAACTGTACCCCGAACAACAACCGAAGTTGTAGGAAGAAATTCGCGTATTTTACCGATCTAGGTATCCCCCCTTTTCCAAATTTTAATATCGACTCAAAATAATTTAAGAAGACAAATTACAATAAAATGGTTTATTATTCAACCTTCAGAAATTTCACAACGTGCCAAGGCAGAGAGGAAGGAGCAATTAAATAATTAAAATTGTAAAGGATTAAAAATATATATATAAAAATGGAGAATATTGCGCTTCTGACAATTGCTGTGAGTGTGTGAGTTAAATTTGGAGAATGCGTGCTTCTTGCGTGGACAACTGTATGTGGCCAGCTCACGCTTCGGAAAACCTTCTGATTTATTCGTGTATGCAAAAGACGGAAAAACAAAAAATATCGTGTATCCACAAGCACTCCAATAAATAAATAGAACTGAAACGACACGTTGAAATGTTTTTCCGATGAAAATGAATAATAATAATAAGTTTCAATAAAAATAATAAAATGTAAATTGAATTTTATCATAACAAGTTTGCTTGAATTTCGTTTCTTCTGAGATCGCAGCAATGCGCGACGGGTAAGCTAGTTTACTATAAATATTGGGCTTATGTATGTTTAAAGTTTGTTTATTATGATAATTTCAATTGAATAATAAAATTTTACTTAGATAATAAAAATTATTAATTTTATGGTTAACTAGTTACAAAATTTTGTAATTTAACTAATGTAGTAGTTTGGAAAAAGTAGAACAACAATATTGGTAGATAAAGTTTTTGCACCTGTAGAAGGATATATTGAAATTTCTGTGATGCTGATTTGAATTAAGGCAGAGAAAGCTGTCTAGATGGAAATTACATAAAAATTTTCCAATTTTATTTAACAAAAAAAATGATAGAATATTTTTAATGTAAAATAGAAATGTCAGGGATTCTTCATTAGATAATGTGATGCTTAATTAGAATTTTTAAATCATAAATTTTAATATGATTAAATATTTTTACTTTTTTTTAGTGATAGAAAATATTGTTAACACAGTCGAAGATAAAGAAATGGCAACAGAAGGTAATTATGGAATAAATATAATAATCATACTTAATTATTCATTAATTTATAAGCAAGCATTATTATGAGGGGTATCAAAAAAAGAATAAGATGGCAACTTTAGTGAAGTAATGATGCGATGTTTGTTAAAATGTCCATTGTAATTAAAAAGTCTTCTGATTTGGTGTGGTGAAAAATGTTGATTACTGATTATCTTTTCAACAAAAAGTTGTGTGAAGGTGATATTATATCCACTTTTGACTCTGTTTGTAATGGCTACAATAAGAGAAGAATAGTATGCTGAGTTAAAATTCTGTTATTGCCTTAAGAAAACAGTCACTGAATCATACAAAATGTTGAAGGAGGCACTTAATGAAAATGTTTCATTATTTGCAACAGCATTTAGGTGGTTTAAAGAGTTGATATGAAATTTCAACAGAGGACAGTAGGATGACTATCATTGGATGGAATTTTCATTTTTAACTATTTTAGCAAAGACTTCCAACATCATTTCAGTGCAAAATTATAGATTAATAATCAGTCTAATAAAATACAATGTCATTGTCAATGTTTGCAGTACGTAAACAATTTGTACCTTGTATTGCCATCATATTTTTATTTAAACATATTTTGTGATTTGTTTGGCTGAAATTATTAAACTGATGGTTTGTTCATAGCAATAAACAGAGAAACAAATATTGTAACTTGTATTTAGAACTTGGAAACAAACGAAACTAAATATATAGAATGGTATGCTTTAGACTGGTGACCATCAATTTTTTTATATATAATTCTTTTTGTTGCTTATTTTCTTCTGTATAACAATTTATAATTATATGTACTTGATTTTTGTTCATATAAGAACCTCTATATCAAAATTGGGACATTTGAAGTTTTTGATATTTGTAACTGCATCCTCTTAGGTATTCCCTAACTAGACTGTAGTTTTTTAAAATGGAACTTTGGAATAAGTAACTTATATTCTATAAGACAAGAAATATAGTAAATTAAAATTTTTATTTCAAGATTTAAAAAATTAGTTTTGTTTTGAATATATAGTTATCTATTGTGAGCTTATGCAAAGAGGCATCACTTAGATCAGCGATTCCCAACCTGTGGTACACGTACCCCTAGGGGTACGCGATAGGTTGTTTAGGGGTACAGAAAAAAGTTAGTTATTATGGCAGAAAAAATAATATATTATGTATCACAAACTAATAGTATTAAAAAATTATTAGGTAAAATATGTTCCTTGCAACAATCACAACTTCATTATACATTTTTTCTTTTAGGTTTTTTTTCTTTAATTTAAAGTTACAATATGTAAAATTAACAATACGGTTACTCACTAAATTTCTTAAATGAGGGGTACAATCTAGAGATATGACATGTCAAGGGGTACAATCTAGAAATATGACATGTCACGGGGTACGCTAATGAAAAAAGGTTGGGAACCACTGACTTAGATCAATTGAATGAAGTTTAGTGGCTTCTTTATCTACAGTAGTACCTCAGGATATGAACGCTCCAGCATACGAAATTTTCAGGATACGACATGAAATTCGAACATATTTTTGCTCCACAGTACAAACAAAAACTCACCATACGAAGTTACATTAGTTTGCAGTGCCATTTTTTATTCACTTCTGTTCATCAGTCTCAGTCTGTGTGTTTGCTTCATCATGGAAGGATCTCGCTCGATGAAGGAAATCTTGAGGTATTATCAGAAAGTGACTGATTTTATTGAAAAGAAACATCCTGAAAAAGTTCACACTGGCTGTATTGCTGCTCAGAGTAATTTGCCTAAGTCATTTTAGAAACATTTTAAAAGGTAGGCAAAGCCAAACCTCTTTGTATAGATATTTTACCAAGCAACCTCTATCTAGTGAAAATTCTGGTGGAAGTGAAGGAAAGAAAGCAAAAAGCAGTGAATAAAAAATTAAAAAACAAAATATAAAACAGAAAAGTTAAAAAATTAGTGTTAAATTATTTTTAAGCTATTGTTACATTATGTTATGTAAGTTAAGTTTTAGTATCATTTCCCTTCTCTCTCTCCTCGCCACCAGTTTACATCTCCACTGTTGTCTATCCTCAAAAGTAAAGTGCCAATAAAACTACATTTTTTTAATCAATTATTATTCTATTACGGTTATTTATACATTTACAACTACAAAACACATTTTTCAGTGTTTTCCTTACTAAAGTTATTTTTTTTCAATGTACTACTTAGCTTTAATTTGAGTGTGTTTTTCGTGTTGGAACAGATTATTTGATTTTACATGTAATCGTATGGGGAAAAATGGTTCACCTTAAGACATTTTCATGATACGATCTCAGTTTAGGAACGGATTAATTTCGTATCCTGAGGTACTACTGTATATCTATTTTAAAGATATTTCTGACATGATCAGATATATTGGACATAAAGTGTTAACAGATCTTTGGTTAAATAAAGATGCTTAAAAGAAAGTATTAAATTAATACATATACTATATCTAAAACATTTTAAATGTTAAACTTAAGTTTTAATTTTTATTCATAATATTTTCAGTTAAATAAGTCTTACATATTTTTATATATGAATACGTTCATATTTGAACTTTTTAAAAAATCATTAATTATCTGAGGTTTTTTAATCAATAAGTGCTTAGACTAAATTTGGTCTGTGCTATTATTTTATTCAATTTTTAAAATATTTTAAAAAATATGATTTGTCTTCCTGTAATTTTTTTAGTAATAAAAAAATAATGCTTATTATAATTAATTATGAAAGAAATATGTATTTATAAATATATTGAAGATTTTAAAAATAGAATGTAATTTGTACTTTTTTTATTCAGTGTTAGAAAACATCGTTAAGTCAGTGGATGATTGTGTGACATCGTCTGAAGGTAATTTCAAACTTAACGCAATGTTAGAAGATTTTTTAATTTAATTTGGTTAATTATTAAATGTTTTGTAGTGCATATTAGCTTTAGTAAAAAATTTTTATATGACACATGATTTTTCAGTGGTAGAAAGTGTTATCAGTTCAGTTGAAAATGAAGTAATGGCTGCCAAAAGTAATTTTGAATTAAGTTCATTTGTAAAATTTCTGAATTAAATATTATTTTTAATTATATTTTAGAAATTAATTGATAAAATTATAAGTTAAGATAAAGAAAATTAAATTACATTTGAATCTTTAATTAAATCTTTCTAGCATTAGAAAATATAATTACTTCAGTAGAGGATCAAGTTACAACAGCAACAGGTCAGTTTTCAAGATTTGTATATATATTTTTAAAATTATTTATAATTTAATAAATAATTTAAAACTTTTTAATAAATAAAATTAAATAAATATTATTATTGATAAATTAAATTACAAGAATACATTAAAAAAGTCTGTAAGAAGCCAAATGATTGCTGGATTGTAATGGTAAAAAATGATAGTAATAAAGTAGCCAGATTAAATCAGGCTACTTTATCGCTATTATTTTAAATTAAATTTGAAATAATTTAGTACTAGAGGTCAGTGTTAGGAGCCCTCTCTTATTAAATTTAATAATTATAATTAAGATTAATTTTTTTGAAGACAATGTCCTTTCCAAAAAAATAGGAACCACCATTTATTAACTTTGTGTTCCAGACATTACACTTTTGGTGACTGACCTTTTTTTTTAGGCTACTGGCCGCCAAACAGTTCTTTAAAAAAACACAAAAATATCCAATTAAAAATATAAACGTTTTTAAAAAATAGGAACTGGTCTAGGAGATATACTAGGTGCACTAGGAGATACACTTTAAGCCTACAGTCGTCAGACGAGAATGAAAAATGACATGTTAACATTGTTTTCATGAAGTGCCAGGTTGGTGTTGTTCCCACTAAAGGGTGTATGATACTCTCATGGATATTAGTAAAATGATCGTACAAATTAGTGAGAGGCTAGAATTGAGAGAAACTTCATTTGAACTTTATAAGAAAAAGTAAGGCCAGTTATGATGAAAAGGATGTACTCAATATTGACTGTGTAGTTTTCTTTTGTTTTAAATATGTCTGTATGTAATAAAAAACTGCTCATCACTATCTATGAGATCCATGCTGACATAAATGCATCTGAAATGAAACCGATTACTGAAGCACTCCTTGAAAAATATTGCTCATCTAACAACTGCTTTTCTGTCTGTGCATTTTCATGCTCATCTGACATTAGCCTAAATGTGAAAAATGTGAAACTATTAAACATTAATTTCATAAACACTTAAGCAGATTCATTTACATTTTTTTTTTTTTTTTTTAATTATGTTTATAATTTGTCAACAAATTCTACATTTTTCTTTAATATTCAGTTATGAATTAAATAAATATATTGCATTAAACTATAATTTAAATCTAATTATAGTTTAATTTTGGGCTCTTAATTAATAAGAATTTCTTTTAGTTTTAGAAAATGTGATGAGTTCTGTTGAAAATAAAGTAACATCTTCTGAAGGTAAATCTATTTTAAATCATAGTAAATTAATTTATATTAATTATAGAAACAATATTTTGTTTATCATCATCATTTGTTTAATACCTTTCTAGATATTCATAATTAAATAAAGAAACAGATTGTATTGTTTTTATCAAAAAATAAATTTTATTAACAATTGTTTTAAATTAATTTTTTATATTTGAAGACTAAACAAAATTTTCTGAAGTATTTAAAGATTCAATTACAATGACAAAGTATACTTTCATAAAGCTCTTACATAAAATATTTAATTTCTAACAGAATTTGTCTGTAAGTTTTTGCTTTATCATTTTACTTTTACAGTTTACAAATTGTTTATATTTTTTCAAACTTATTAGTTTAAATGTACCATATTTTTGTGGTATGACTCACATAAAAACTGGTTTGTTTTTTTAATGCACCTTCTAGAAAGTGATCTATAACCTCACTTAAACCAGCATGTCGGCATTTCCCAGGATAAACCGGCATGCCAGTTTTTACCATATGGAAATATCTGATAGATTGACATCCAATATAGATTAATGAAAATACAATATTAACATAAAACACTTGCTGCATAAGATACTTTGGTTTGAAATCATCTTCAAATAGTTGATTAGTCGATACAAATTCAGTTTATTAAACCTTTAGGGTAAATCATGTCTTTAGATGAATTCTGTTATATTTAATGTCCTAATTATTGATAATTTTTTTCTATTGAGTGCTTTCTAAACTCGTCTTCACTAGATTTTGCAGTAAATGGATTCTCAGGAAATATGAACATTTTATAGATTTTAAATATATATTCTTTACAGCTACTTAGAAATTCAATGCTGAATAATGTATATTCTTTGAAGCTGTGTGCTCTGGAATACATATTGAAAGAGTATATGACAAATACAAAAAAAACAGTGTGTGAAATTTTTTATTTTTGTAATTTGAAAAATATAATTACATGAACAAAATTTTTGATTATTAAATATTATTAAATTAAACATTCTTTAAAGGTGGTTTGCTGTTTATTTGCATTTACTTAATTCCAAGAAGAACAAAGGAAAAGTATTAGCATAAAATCTCTTCTCTAGTAAATCAGTAAACTTAACAATAGCTAAACAAATAGATTTTATTGAGATATTTTTAAACACTCTTTCCTTCTTCAGAGAATCATTAAATATAAACAGTCATTAAGGTCCAGAAAGCTTTATGCCATAATGAATAGATAGCTTAATTCAGATAGTCATTTGCTGATTTTCTTTTCTTTATAGAGCTTAAAGGTAACACGTTAGAATAAATTTGAATAATTTACTACAACAAAGATCAAAATCTTTTGAATCAAGCATCTCAAGTAAACACCTGTTTGATTAAACAGAGTTTTTGCTTTTTTTGAAAGATTAAAGTTAAGTTAAATACTTTAACTTAATTTTTTACATTTGTTTATTCTAAATACTATTTTGTTCTAAAGGAATAAAGCCATTAATTTTAGTTTGAAAAGTTTGTTCGTAAGGTTTATTTGTGTTTATATCTGCCTGAGGACGACATCTTATAATATGTTGAAAGCGCTAAGGAATAAACTGATATTTATACATATTTAACACGTTTTGTGATAGTTTCTTCTCTTTTTTAAGTAAAAGATTGGCATGATGTCCAATATCGATTTTGATTAGTTACATCATATTTCACTTCAAAATTTCTAAGTGTTTTACTATTTAAATGATTTTGTAATAATTTGAATAAATGAAAATTGGAAAGTGTTAAACCAAGAATAAATAGGGTAGGTAATCTAAAGTTTACTGGTTCAATTGTTTTATTTTTTTAAGTTATGTTTTCAAATTGGTGTGTGAGTATGCACTATTTTTCTGAAAGACAATTTACTTCTGGTTGACTAGATGTGGGTATTTTTATGTAAGACATTTGTTTATTTGGTCCAATTTCCAATAATAAACATCAGACTTTATGATTTTAGTAGGCTGTAAAAGCTTATAATTAATGATGCAACAAATAGTATATTCGGCCAGGAGCGTGGCCGAATAGCCGAATATTCAGCCAAACTATTTGGCTTGATTAATGCATGTACAAAAATTGGTGCACAAACCACATTATGGCAAGGATCATGCACCCTGCTGTCTATTGGCCCACTGTCACTATGCTTTGCCAATCATGTTAATTCTTGACAGTTGTAGTTGTGAGAGTCGAACTTAGTGGAATAAATTGATTAAATATTTTTTTAATTGAGAGAGAAAAGTTTAGAGAAATAAACAACAAACCGATATTTAAAAAGAACATAAAACTTTTTTCCCACGAACTTAATTCCGTGTTGAGGATGATACATCCAATGTGTCACCCAGAATCTACGAAAAGACGAAAGAAAACAACTATTGGATGGAGGCAGTGGGAAAAACCCAAAGATGACCCCTTTTATAAAAAGGAGGGGTTGATGCGTAAGAGTCAGTCTCTGGAGTTTGGTGTGAACTGTGGATTTACGTGAACGAATTAGTCGCTACCCGGAACTATTCTAATCGCCGCCATTCGGGAGAATCACCGCCTAAAGAAATATCAATGTTCGAAAGAACTTTGTGCCAATATTAACATTCGAAAGAACTTTGTTCCACACAGAGACTCGAGGACTAAACGACTATTTGCCAACTTATATCAAGGTATTTATCCTCGCGCGAATTTAATGTGAACTCTCTCTCATAAATACAGGTAATCGGGAAAGAAGTAGATATGTTAACTGAATTAATTGTATATAGCTTAAAGAGAACAATAAACGGGCATTATGCATAGATTATGTAGAGTGAAATTCCTTTGATTCTCTCTTTACGCCTCCATCTCGGAACTAAGAGTCCACATACGCGAAATTCGAACGTAACGGTCTCTGTGTCTACCCAGAAGACACAGTGGTGTCACTCCTGATAAATTTGTCATTGCCGTCTTCGCCGACGCAATGTCGACCCTTCGGTCCTGTGGTGCCGAAGCATAGAGGGGGGGCCCTTCGGCATTGTCACATAGTGGACAGACATGATCATATGGTAGTATGTGATAAGTGATGATATCAAATGTGGATAACAATGAAATGACCTACATTGAAAAAGAACAGAGGACTGCGAAGTGAAAATGTGAAAATAAAAAAATATGAAATTGAGTTGATAACATAATCAAACAAGTCGAGGCAGCTTATTGGTGCAAAATTTGCAACCGTCAATGCCAAATAATTGTTCTCATAGACTTTGGAAAGCTAAATGCTTGTAATGAAAGTCACTTAGGGTATGTTCGTAAAGTCAAATGAGTTAAATGAGAATGACATCATCATTATTCTTATTTCGTTACAATTTTCGAATGATTCATTTACAACTTAATGGCTGTTTCTAAAATCAAAGATATGAATATTGCTATCTGAAATATTCTTTGGGTGGACAGTTATTTTTATTTTTTCACATTTTAATTTACAGTTTAAACATTTGAGTAGATTTAGAAATATTGATATCGTCGGGCACCATTTTCTTAATGAAGTGAACTAACTCTTTTCTTTGTGAACTTCGTTAGAGTTTCGTTCAAAACGTCATCATTGCAGAGCATGCACACTGAGCAACGCTACTACTTTTAGAATGATTTGTTACTAACGTGTTTAACTCGTTCAACTTTGCGAGCGTACCCTTAGCGTGCACAGGTTAAAAAGCCTGGGACTGTTCAGGCTACCAAGCTATCTGGAATCTGTGAAATCATAACTGTGACTTATACCAACATCCTATCTGTCTCTTATCTTCGTTATCACCAGTCTATGAGTCACATAATTGTAAGATGGGAAATCTACAACGGAAAAGTGATGAATCGAATGTATCATGTGCACACATTATGATTTATGCATAGGCATATGTTCTTTTACATACGAGTATAAAGATGACTAAACTACATAATAAGTAGACAGTGGTGATATTCAAAATATTTAACAAAGGGTTCACTAACAGAAAATTTTTCCTTAACAATTTTTTTTTCGCTTAAATGGTGCATTAGCAACATTAGTGCTAAAACTGACCTTAAGATGCCCATATAAATAAAAAAAAGATGCGTTCACAAAATTAAGTCAGTTAAAATTTAACATTGTTTATGCTAGAACTATATTTTTTAATATAAATAATAAAAAAGAGTGTTCAAAATGGTTTATTTTGTACATATTTTATTACGACACGTGTCCTGCAGCCATTTTGTATTTTCTCGCACGCGTGGGATTGTGGGATTTGTCTTATGACTGGATCTAGTTTCAAGAACTCTCTTGAGTCGATCGCGATTGAACCTCGTTTCAGTCAAGATTGAAACGGTCGATGGAGGTTGCACCAGGCAAACAGGGTATAAGGCTCTAGTTTAGTAGTGTTAAACAGTATAATACGTATATTTTAATATATTTTTTAAAAGAAACAAAACCACTGAGAAATGTTACGTGTGTTTAACAATGGGTTCGGAAAACTTTGAAAATGTTAATAATGGGTTCGGCCGAACCTGTGCAAACCCACTGAATATCACCACTGTAAGTAGGTAGTTTTCATTTGATTTGTTACCTGTTTTTGATCTCTTAAAAAATATAACTTAGTTATATTACTTTTCCTTTGATATTTTACATAAATAAGCAAAAAAATTGCACTTTCTTGAACTTGAAATGTATGTTCGGTTAATAAATCATTAATAAAAGTTACCAAAATGATTAATTTACTGTGTTTTTGTTATTTCTTACTCCTGTTTTTAGATATTTGGTATTTGGACGAATACCAAATAGTAATCAAATATTCGTTGCATCATTACTTATAATAAATTACACAATTTATATCCCACCATATAGAAAGCTGTATAAATTTTGGAATGTAGAGCTCTTTTTGAACTGCAAGATGTCTCAATTTGCACTGTTGTTTTTCTAATAATATAGTAGAGTGTCATTTATCTGAATCAATTGGGGACTGAGGTTGTTCAGATAACTTATTTTTCGGATAACCGATTATGTACGAAAAAAT